GAGCCACTGGGATTACAGGTGTGCACCACTGCGCCTGGTAGCTGGCATCATCTTGATGGCAGAGGAGAGCAGATAGGAAGAAATGTCCCTAACCAACTGTGGCTCCTGGAGAGACACAGCCAATACCCCAACCCTGGCAACCTGATGGGAAGGGGTAAACTGATGGCCCCATTGAGAGGTCAGGATCTTCCAATAGTTCCCCTTTGGGATGAGGCCCCCATAGTCTGGGGAAACTGTATGTATTTGTGTCATGTCTGTGCGGGCCTGTTCATGCGTATGCTCCAGAGCATGCTCCAGGGCCTGTTTGGGCCTGTGCAGGCCTGTTCATGCGTATGCTTCAGGGGTTAGGGAGGCCCCACTGGACCTGGTTCAGCTGATCTCCTGAACACCCCCCCTCCAATAAGGTTCAGGTGAAGATGGGCAGTAGAGCCCTGCAGGGGCCGGTGCAAGTCCTAGAAGGGAGAGAGAGGCTGCACTAGGCAATGGATCCTCCCAACCTGCAGACATGCTGGCCCAAAGGAAGCCACCATGAGAACCAACACACACTCTACAGAGAATGACACAGAGGTGCATGCCACTGATCCCTGACCCTGAGAATCATGAGTGACAGCCTCAAAACAGTGTGGGGTCTGGGTTAGGGCTACAGCTGGGATCATGGGCACTAGAGGAGGCCAGTGTCAGGGAAGGAAGACTTCCAGTCTGGAGGAGGAGTCAACGGTGAGGAGTAATCGTAACAGCCAGGATTAACATACATGGATCAACTTTTTAATGTCACTGCAATCTGTAAGGAAAGAGTTACCATTATCTCCAGCTGGTAGAAGAGGAAACTGAGGCACAAGGTGGTTAAGTGGCTGGATCAACCCCATAAGCTTCTGGAACTGACTGTCCTTCAGGCTGAGAGCCAAGCTCACCCTCACCCGCTGTTGGGCAGGACCAGCCTGGGCCAGGTATCCACCTGGTGCCCTCCGGAGGCTCCAAGAGAATGGCTCAGGGAGGCAGACAGGGTGGTTTGTGCTGGGATGGAGAACACGGGTGCAGCCCACTGACAGGAGCCAGAGCTTCGGCCTGCTGCTGTGTGCTCTGGGCCTCGTGTCCTCATTTGTAAAATGGGCACACTGCTGGCCTGGCCTCCTGGGTTCTTGGGGGGATCCAGTGACTCACCCCATGACAAAGGCTTGATTCACTGCTTATGAAGAGAGGCTGTGAGGGAGCCACACCCCCTAACTCCAGAGCCCCAGAGAGGCAGGGCCCACTCAGCAGAGATGTTCCCCAGTGACCCTGCACTGCAGGACCTGCAAGGAATTTGGCACATGCAGATGGCAAGAAGGGTGGAGGCTTAGGGAGGCCAGCTCCACCCTAAGTGTGGGGTATAGGATGGGGGGCCCCTGGCTTGGTCAGCCCACAAAACAAGGGACAGGAAGCTGACTGGGCTGAGATCAGCACAAGGACCAGGATCAACTTCCCAAATGCTGATTCTTCCCAAGGTCCACTGGAAAAGATGTGGGGAGGGAGGCCAATTCTCTCAGATCAGAGTCCCTTTTCACCTCTCAATGTTTTTGTTCTTGCTCAAAATGAAAATGTGGGCAAGTTTCCTGTGTGTGTGTGCATGTGTGCACGTATGCATGTGTATGCAGTTGTCTTGTATTGGTTCTGCATAGGGTCTGGGGGTATACACTTTGTGGTATGTTGTTTATGACAGGTGCTTAGTGTGTGTGTGTGTGTGTGTGTGTGTGTGTTGTGTGTAGTACATGCACTGTGTGGTGTCTGAGTGTGATGTGTGTTGTATGGGTGTATATGTGTGAGTATGCAAGGCTTGAGAACTGTAGGTGACACTACGTTTGAAGGTACACTTGAGGAGGGGGGGTGGGCAGGTGGAGACTTCCTTGTGCTAAGGGCTGCCTGAGGGCTCATTTGGGGCAGGGGGAAGAGGATCGTTCTGGCCACTGGATGTGGGGGTGCCCAGAGGAGCAGGGAAGGAGCCCAGTGGCAATGGAATGTGTTTGAGTCAGCCAGAGCCAGCCTGCAATGTTGCTCAGCTGAGCTGTGGTGCCCCAGAGGCCCCTGGTGGACAGTGGCCAAATCATATCCACATATCAACCAGGTCTCCCCGGTCAGTGCCGGAACCTGAGCACCCAGAATCACAGCACCTTCCTATGCCTAAGGTGTGGCTGGGGGATCATCATGTGAGGTCACTCCACCACCTGCCTTTAACTTGCCCTGTCCCTTGGCCCTCTAGGGCACCTGCCCTCTCCATGCCTGAGGCCCTGGGCAGGGGCCTCAGGAGTTCTCATTCAGCCCACCTGCTGCCCACCTACCTGAGAGATGGGGAAGCCTTCCTCAGAGTCTGAGGATAGTTGGTGCTGCCAGGAGGGGCTGTGGGCACCAACTTGTGCAGACCAAGCTCTACTACTCCCCACCGCCAGCTGGGTTAGATCTCTCAGGATCCAGTCCTTGGCCCCCTGACAACTCCTCCTTCCCTTAAAAATCCTTCCAGACTATCCCGTGACTCCCCTCTCCATCCCTGCACCCCTACATGGGAGCTGGGATTAGGGGTGTAGGGTAGGGGGCTTTGTGGTGCCACAGCCTGTCTCTGCATCCTTCCCCTTCCCCAGCCCCCATCATGGCCCCATTTCCCGCACCTCTCTAATGGGACAGGGAGCTCCCAGAAAGAAGGAAGTAAGTCACTTTTATCCCCACCCCCACCCCCACCCAGGCCTGGTGAGGCTGGCATGCAGTTGGCACTCACTGTCTGGTGACTGGCCAGCAGAATGGATGGTGACCTGAAAGGAGTCTGTCTCCCCAGGGGCCTGAGAGTTCCTGGAGTTTGGGGGCCATGTCTCAGCACCTTCATACCTGGGCAAAGGAGCTGCTCAATAAATATTTGCTGACCTAACACAGGGTTATTAAGAGCTAACATTTATGGTGTATGTCAGCAGCTGCTCTAAGCATTTATCATTTTTTAACTCCATGAATCCTAAAGAGGGTTGCGATGATGGAATGGAGTGGATCTGGTCTAACTAAGCTGAAGGTGCCTGGTGCAGGTGCCAGTGGGTGATGAAGCCCTGGCATATAGCCCCATGGTAAAACTCTCAAGGTTGAGCCAGAAGCAGTGGCGCACACCTGTAATCTCAGTGATTCAGGAAGTTGAGGCAGGAGGATCACAAGTTCAAGTCTAGCCTCAGCAACTTAGCAAGACTCTCAAAAAAAATAAAAGGGCTGGGGATGTAGCTCAGTGGTAGAGCACTCCTGGGGTCAATCCTCGTCCAAAAACAACAACAACAACAACAACAAAATGCTCAAGGTTGCCTATAGAACTTGAAGATTGTATAAACTAGATTTTATATCCATAGGTGACCTAAGTAAGGACTGAACTATGTGCAGACTGACACGGAAGGATGCCAACTCATCAGTTTATCTACAAATGTGTAAACAAGATCACTGTGTCTGGCTAGTAGTAGCTTTTCTCCCCACTCTTTTATTATAAATCCTATTTTTATTGTAGTGGAATGAAATCAATCTATAGATACATGTATGTTCCTTGTATCACAGTAAACAGCAAGGCAATAATTAGCCTTTTGGGGTATTCTTTGACACCTATTAACAGCCCTTAAGGGAGGTTTTTAATTATTGTCCCCATTTTATAGATGACATGGAGTCTCAGGGAGGTTGCATGATTTGCCCAAGGCCACACAGCTGGCAAGTGGAGAGAGAGATTCACAGCCTTTGATGGGATGCTCCTTTCTCTCTCAGCCCAGCCCCAATCCAAGAAGGACAGCAGAGGTGGGTGTGGATCACAACTTGCCTGCTCTTCTCCAATGTGATCCTAAGGGAGGATGGTTGGTTCTATGCCTCCTTCTGTCCCAGGGACTCGCTGAGGACTGGAGCCTGGGTCCCCACATGCTCAGATCACCCTCAGGAGGCTCCCCACGGCCTGAAGAAAGTGCCAGTTACTTGACCTGGTGTCCACACTCTGCATTTGGCCCACTCCTCACTGTCCTTCACTGTCCCCTCCCAGCACAGGCCCTCTTGCTCTTCTCTGGCTCTCCGCTTGGCCATTGCCCTTCACAAGGAACCAGGAAGAAAGTCTGCCTTCCCAGAAGCCCTTAGAGCCCATCAGAATTGCCACTTCATTCCAATGGGCTCTGTGCCACCTTACTGTGGGAGCTCTAGACTGTGCTGCCCTTGGAAGGCAGAGGCTCCCTCAGGGGGGTGAGGGCAGTGGGGCCAGCTCTGATCCCCTCCATTCCCATCTCTGAGGGATGGCCTGAGCAGATATAGTCTCAGGACCTCCAGGTGGAGGAAGGAGACGAATTGTCATAGTATGTGTTCCTGCATTTGTGTCACTGTACAAGCTACACACATAACTGTGTCTCACGTGGGGACTGTCTGCATCCACATACACATGTGCTCACTTGTGCTTGCATGCGTGTCTACCTGTGTGTACACAGCTACATGCTCCTGCACCTAGGTGTCTGTGTGTGTCTGCCTCTGTGTGTGCCTATGCACCTGTGTGGCCAGTGGTGTGTGTAGCTATAGGCTACTCACCCTCCCTGGAGCCAGCCTTCCCTGTGGCTGTAATTACAGCCAAGAGGATGATGCTGTGACAGTCACACAGAAGATGGGGGCTCCCAGGGTCACCTCCCCAGCAGCCTTCCCAGCTCACCATGGGGAGGGAGGTGCACCACACCCATGTCTTCACACACTTCCTCAAAACCCTTCTGCCCAAAGCTCCAGCCCAGCCCCACTTCTGCTCTCTGCCACCAGCGCCCACCCGCACAGCCTTTTGGGAGCAGCAGGAGGTGCCCTCTGGAGCAACCAGTGAGGTGCAGAGCTGTTCAGAAGTGAGAGGGGCATCCCTGCCCTGGGGAGCTGCTCAACTGGGGACTCTTCAGTCCTGCGAGCCCCATTTTCCCCATCTGTGAAATAGGGCGGCAATCCCCTGTATTATTAGAGGACGGGTGGGGTCAGGTTTCTATGGGAGATGACTACTCACTGGGAGATGCGGCAATTATGAAAATAACAATTATTATTACAAGTCCAAGCTTGGCATTTGAGCAGCAGCCTGACAAAGAGGCCGGGAGCGTGCTGCCCTACTCTGTGGATGGGGAGGGCCACAGATGGAGCCAGGGCAGGGCAGGGGGATGCCTAGTGAGGAGGGCCAGGTAGGTGGGGGAGGCTGTTCAATGTGCCCAACCCAGGGCACCAGGGGTTCTGCTGTGCGTATGGAGCCTGTGGGCATGCAGGGGTTCCCCAGGCAGGCTCTAAGACAGGGGCCATGAGCACCTGCGTGGGGGACTGCATCTGTCCATTCACAGCTGGCTGGTCCCAGAGCTCTGGCTGAGGCTGGTGGGCTGCTGGGCCTCCTCCCGTCACAGCCACATCTGCCCAGTGTTCCTGCATGGTTCTGCCATGGCTTCTCCTCTGGCTTGAAGTGTGGGCTGTGGTCACTCTGAAGGAGCTGCTTTCGAGGGCAGAGCTGAGCTGGGGCCCGGATGGCTTCCTGAGTCGGACGCAGTCCTCAGACAGCCTCATCCTCTCAAGGCCTGAGCTGCCCCACTGGCCTGGCTGACACAGGGCTGCATCCTAGTGCCTGTCTGCTTTCTGCTGCCGCAGGGCCTGCAGGAAGACCCCTTTCACCTGGCTAAGGGTCTCATGGTACAGGCGGAAGTCCTCCTCTTTTCCCCGCAGGGCATTGCCCAGGGCGGCTTTCAGCACTTTGTTCTCCTCCACCTGGATGGCCAGCCTGGACCACAGGGAGACAGGGTTGAGTGTGGCCTGAGTAGCACATGGGTGGTGGTGTCCAGGGGGCCCTGGATTGCAGCTCCAGCATGACTGCTGTTCAGCTCAGGGCTTTCTCTGACCCACCCCCTCCCCTGCCCTACCCCTCCCCAGGAGGAATACCATGCTGGAGTCCTCCCTGGGCCCGCCCACAGCTTTGGGTCTGGTGCCCAGTAGCCCCAGCATTATCAGCCATCCCAAGCAGGAGCCTCATTTGTAGAGGTGCTTTCTCCCCTTTCCCTTTGCATTGTCTTATAAGGCCCAACTGAGGGAGAAAGTGGGTCCAGCAAACCCCGCTTAATGAAACTTCTCTTGGGACTCTAGGGTCATCAGGGAGTGCCTGGGCCCCTTGGCCACTGCAGGGAGATCTCTGAATTGGAAGCCTAGAATCTAGGACCCAGCAGAACCAGCCCTCTGGGCAAACAGAAGTCAAAAGTGCGAACAGGGAGGGACAGTCCCTCTGCCCTTCGTAGCACCTCTACCTAGACTACTACCCTTTTAGGAAGAGGGGGCAGGAAGCACCTGGTGGTCAGCTCCTCCATCTGCAATTCCACAGGTACACTGGAGAGTTGGGCAGAGGATGGGTCCTTTTTCTCACTTCCTGTTGGGTTGGGCCTGGTGTTAGAGGCTGGCAGACCTGCAGGGCAGTCTTCTGGCTCTGCCATCCTGACCCCTAGCTCACCCCAGCCCACACCATGCTGACGTGGCTGGTCTGGGACTACCCTTGAGAAGCAGCGTTACAGCGATTGGCCTTTCACTTAAAGACAACTTCCCCCAGCTTCAGCACAAGCCTGGAGTGTGTTCTTCTGTCTAGGGTCTGGGTGTGACCACAGCATAAGTGACGCAGGCCACCTTACAAGGTGAGAGGCAGGTCGTCCCCTTCCTTCCTCCCCTTCCTGCTGCTGGCAGGGAAGCTCCAGTGGCCACCTTGGACCAGGAGTTGGAGCTGTGCGTTGAGGATGGTGGAGCCACAAGACAGAAGAGCTTGGGTCTCCCAGCCTGTGGAGAGGCCACGAGAGCCCTCATACACCTATGTGGAGGCAAAAAGGGTCTCCTCTGCTGTTTCAGCCACTACTACTTTTGGCTGGCCCAGCAGAGCAACTGTGAACAAGGTTCACTGGGGACAGAAGGTAGAGGGCTGCTGGGGAGGCAGGAGGTAGTGGCTGAGGACATTCAGCAGAGGTACTGCCCCCTCATGCTAAGGGCTAACACGAGGCTGGGCCAGGTCCAAGTGGGCCCGTGGGTCACTGGGGCTCCTGCTTCTGGCTGGGAGCTGGGAGAGGCTGCACAGTAACAGAGGCAGGCAGAGCTCTGCCCTCATACAAACTCCACTTCCCACACTCCCTGATGAAGGCCAAAGAGCAGAGTTAACTGCTTCCTCCCTCAGCAGCGAGGCTGCCCCTACTCCCCACATCAGGACCCTTCCTTGGTCCCTACCTGGTTTATTTTTGGGGGCTGCTTTCTGTGAGGCGGATGCCTTGCCAGGCTCCAAGCGCATCTTCTCCAGATGTTGCTCCAGCACCACAGTGTGGTGCCGCTCCCCCTGCAGCCTCCTTTCCGCCTCCAGGAGCTTGCTGTTGCTCTCCTCCAACCTGGTCATTATAGAGGGGCTGCACACGCCCTGGCAGGCAGGGGCAGCCCCTGGCCCACCTACTGAGGCTCCGAGAGAGGTGGGCATATCTTACACTGGGTGGTGGAAATTGTTCTGGATTTTCATTGCAGTAACACAGAAATGTGCACTGAAAAACCACATAGTTCTCTTCAAGGCTTAAAATGAAAAAAATTGGCAGCCCATCCCTACGCCCTTCACTCCGGATTCTTGTTTCCCAGAAGCAACCACTTTTAGCATTTTAAGCTGCTTCTTTGAGTGTTTACTGCCACATTTCTACAGATGCTTGTGCTGCTTTTTTTTAAAAGGTTTAAATATAATCTTTTGACTTCCTGTCATGCAGAATCAGAATTTGGTTTTATTTTAGCACTCTCCCCCTACCCAACAGAACCTACTTTCCTCTTTTTGACTGAATTGATATTAGGTGGTGTGTTAGTTTTCTGTTGCTACTATAACAAATTACCACAAAATAGGCAGCTTGAAATCACACAAACGCATTGTCTCACAGTTCTGTATATCAGAGAAAGGGAGCCGGTTCTTTTGGGTTCTCTGCTCCAGGTATCACAAGCCAAAAACAAGGTGTCAGCTAACCTGGGCTGTTATCTGGAGGTTCTAGGGGAGAATCTGTTTCTAAATCCATTCAGGGTGTTGGAAGAATCCAGTTGTAGGTAGCTGAAGGACTGTTATGGATTTCAGTAACAGTTTCCTTTTGTTTAACTTTGTATCCCATCTGCGGTTGGCTAGGGGTCATTTTTAGCTTCTAAAGGGCACTTTGCCCCCTCTGCTTCATAATCAGCTCTGAATCTTTCATGTGTGATGCCTTCTGCAGCATAACTCTTGAATGACCCTAGATGGAAAAATGTCTCTGCTTTTATGGGCTCAAGTGATTAGATTTGGCCCACCTGATAATCCAGGATAATCTTCCTATCGTAGAGGCCATCATGATCATTACATCCACAAAACCCTTCACAGGCATAACAGCAAAGGACACAGGCATCAAAATCCTGTCTACCACAGGGGATATATTGGACAATTATGCAGAGCTGACATGTAGTTCACTAATGATTACATTTCCTGGAGTTAATGTTTGTCTTATGTTTATTATTTTGTTTTCTATATGCCTGTCATAAATCCATGGGCCTTGAAGACCTTGTTGTATGGTTATTTCACCTGTGAAAATTTTGTTTAATCTTTTTTTAATATTGTTTTTAGTTGTAGTTGGACACAATACCTTCATTTTATTTATTTTTATGTGGCGCTGAGGATCGAACCCAGCACCTCACACATGCTAGGCGAGTGCTCCATCGCCAAGCTCCAGCCCCAGCCCCAAGATTTGTTTAATCTTTAAGTCCCACTAACAGGGAAAAGATAAATGGTGACATATTCATACTATGAAACATGATAGAATATGACAGAACCATTATACTATTCAACACAGTGGCCTTTCATCCACATGAAGCTGTTAAAATTAAAGTTATGATAATTAAATAAAATTTAAAATTCAGTTCTTCAGTCATACTAGGCACATTTCAAGTTCTTAAAAACCACGTGTGGCTAATGGCTACTGCATTGGTCAGTGCAGATCTAGAACAAATCCATCATCTCAGAAACTTCTATCGGACAGCACTGGTCTAGCAACGACAAAGAACAAGGTAGAGCTATACATACAAACGTGGCTAATCTCCAAGTCATAGAAAAAGAGCAATTGCCACAAGAATACATATTATACCATTTATATAAAAAAGCTCACTAAATAATGACATGTGCAAGCCTACATATTCAGGTCTGTAACTTCAAGAACAAGGGTCAGGAGATAACAGGGTGGAGTGGGATGACATAAGGAGCAAGACTTGGAAGTGACATACACATGAACCTGACCTGTTGTCTACAGTGGTAACAAGGAGACTCTGGGACTGAGGTGCTTTCCCCTGTGAGTGGTCAACTGGAGACCCACCAGTGGCAAGAGGTGGGTCTGCTTCTCCCACCTGCCTGGGCTTCTTGAAGAAAAATGCTGCAGTCATTGAAGGTGACTGAGCAAGTGATGGCCCTTGGGTCTGATATCCTGGGCTGCAGAGGTCAGCCTGAAATCAAGGTGTCAGAAGGGCTGCTACGCTAGCTCATCTTGGGGTCTTCTTCTAAGCTCATTCCATTTGTTAGCATAATTGAGTTCTCTTGTGGCTGTAGAACCTCATTTTCTTGCTGGATATTGACTAGGGGTGGTTGCTAGCTCCTAGAGTGCACCCACCATTCCTGCCACGTGATCTCCACAGCAGGGCAGTCTGCAGGAGAATGTCTTCAAGGTCAGCAGGAGACTAACTCTGCTGCTTCAACTCTCTGGCTTCCTCTGTCTCTGAACTCTAGACTCATGCAATGAAGTCTGCCCTCTCTCTCACTTTGATCAACTCAGTCACCTGACTAGTAAACTTAATTATGTCTGCAAACTCCCCTTTGCCATGTAAGTTAACATAATCATGGCAACAATATCCCACCATATTCATGGGTTCTGACCACACTGATGGGGATGGAAGTATAAAAGGCCTGTATACAAGGGGGCAGGAATTTGGGGGATAATATTAGATAATGTTCTGCCTTCCACAGTGAAAACACAAATTTTCTTTTTTAAGAAAGAAACTAAAGCCTAGTGGTATTGTTAGAGAATAATACAACATTGTTCCAGGCACACTAGAGTCAACATCAGAATTAGGGTTAAAGGAGAAAAATCACATGGTCCTTCAACAGATGCTGAAGATGCTCAAATTCCTTATTTCTGATTTTAAAAACTCAAAGTGACTGGAAATATAGCCAAGTGGTAGCCTGCTTGTCTAGCATGTATAAGGCCATGGGTTTGATTCCCAGCACTGCAAAAACAAACCAAATCAAACAAAATGCTTCAAGTAAAAAAGGAGAACAGAAGGAAACATCTTAACACAATAAAATATTTTAAATTTAGAAACCAATAACTCGTGAATAGAGGAATGGTAAATCAATCAGTGGATTTACATGATAAAATACTCTGTAACCATAAAAAGAATATGTACTGACATGAAGAGAAGTTCTGCAATATGTTACTAAATGAAATAAGTAGCTGAAGATTATGCATAATATATGATCCAATTTAAACATTTATAACAAATTAAAAATTTAAAAACAAATAAATATAAGGCTAATATAATTCAGTGGATGAACTGAAAACAAAGAGGAACAAGAAGAAGCTACTGAAGCACTGTCTGTGGGGTGGGGCTTTCATTTTTCTGTTATGGATTTCAGTAACAGTTTCCTTTTGTTTAACTTTGTATTCCATTCATACTAGGCAAAACAAACAGCAGCAAGTGCCATATTAAAATGGTAAAAGCATGTTATCAGTTTCCTCAAAAACTTAGGAGCAATCAAACTCTGGATTTCTTCCCCAAATTGTGTCTTCACCATCTTGATACACATCACCATCACTCATGTAATTGCTCAGCCCCCAAAGCTGAGAGTCATGCTTGCTTTCTTCCTCACCTTCGGCTTCCACTCTTTCAATAAGTGCTACAGCTTTCACACAAAGACACACCAGAGCCAGCTCCCTCGCACTCCTCCACGTGTGGCCTGGTCTGAGGCTGCTCCTCAGGCCTGGATCCATAGTCTTTGCTCTCAAGATTCTCAGATCCTTCGGATCTCCTATTATTCTCTTTGGGCCAGTCTTTGTCCTCACCACTGTTCTCTTCCTCACTTGTTAACTGGTCTAAGTCAGTCAGATCCTCATTTGTCAATGGCTTGGAGTATGATTCTAACAGTCCTCTGACATCAGGTGTGTCAACCTCATGAGATTCCAAATATTTTGAAAGACTTGTCTTGTTATTTCAAAATCGATTCTCATTGTATTTCAAGAGTCTGACCAGATTGGCCCAATGCCAGTGTAAAATGAAGAATATTAAGTGGTCAAATTATTAGTAAATATTTTGACATTAAAATTTTTGCTTTCGGGGCTAAGGTTGTGGCTCAGTGGTAGAGCATTTGCCTAGCATGTGTGAGGTGCTGGATTCGATTCTCAGCATTATATATATATATATATAATAAAGTCTATTAACAACTAAAAAATATTTAAAAAATTTTACTTTCATGTGTGCTGTAATTGTGAGGATTTGATAAACAATATTCAGGAGATTCCCCAACCCAACAATTAATTTAACATAAATAATACAAGATCTTTATGAAGGTAAACATGCATAACATTATATACATAATATTTATATGTGTAATATGTAAATTGATCTTCTATAAATTAAGAAAAAATATAAACAATTTCAAAAAATGTGCAATGGCACAAATAAGTAGTTAACAGAAAAGAACACATACTGGGTTGTGTGAAAAACATGCTCATCTTCAATGTTTTTGTTTTTTTAAGTTTTTTTTTTTGTGGTACTGAGGATTGAACCCAGGGATGCTTAATCACTGAGCCACGTCCTCAGCCCTTTCTGTTTGAGAAAGAATCCCACTGTTGCTTAGGGACTCACTAAGTTGCTAAGGGTGGCTTTGAACTTGCAATCCTACTGCCTCAGCCTCCTGAGCTACTGGGATTACAGGCGTGCACCACTGTACCCAGTTCCTCATTTTTGGTCACAGCAAAACAGATGAAGATAATAATGAGATATTAGTGTTCCTTTATGAGTTTGAAAAAAATGTTAATGACTGATAAAACTTACTATAGGAGAGGCTATGGGGAAAGGATCAAGAGTTCACATGATTGGTAGGAATGCGAATTTGACTCATTTTAAAGGGCAATTTGCCATTATTTGTAGATATGTTTAGTGTGAAGCTAGTTTTTGATAATATACGTAATACATGTGTTGTCCATATGGCTAAATACACACATATACATATACACATGTATGTACATATGCATGTATATATTATTGGGTGTGGAAAGAAAAAAATTAGTAGTTTTAATTGTTCTTATTTATGAAGAATGTGGAATTGGGTGTTGGAGAAACAGAGACTTTTTGCAATAAGTAAATATACATTTCTAGTAGAAAACCTAGCAAAACTTCCAATAGTGTAAGGCAGGGGTTTTAATGCCAACATGAGGGCAGCTGATATAAACTTGTACATCTATAAGGCAGCAAGTTACTTACAAGTGAGTTAATATAATTCTAGACACTTCAACAGAATACCTTGGTTGTGATAATCAGAGTTAAGATAATCTCCATCAACAAGTGCAGGGAAGTGGTGAGGAAGCTGTAGTCCACTGGGGCCTGGGGCAGGGCAGGGTGGAGGCTCATCAGTCGTGAGAAACTGAACACAGGCAGCACTCCTGTGTTCCGGAAACCCTAAGCCAATAAATTAGCATAAAGCACTGATCAGAAACCACTGAAACCCCAAGGGCTCCATAGAAACAACCATAGACCCACTCTCTAGGAGCGCTTTCATAGCCTAAGAACTGCCACAAGAAAATCCCCACTGAAGAGGAGCTCACACCACCAGAAATACAAGCCACATGGGGAGAACATTCATCCCAAGTGAAGAGTCAATCAACAGACGCTATTTACATCCCTAGGTAATAAAGGTGATATAACTATTTGAAAGGACTAAGTTAAGTTTAAAATTATTGAAAAGAGAAAGAAAATAAATCTTTGTTTGTTTGGTTGGTTATCATGCTGGGGATCAAACACAGGGCCTTGCACATGATAGTCAAGCTTTCTGCCACTAAGCTACACCCCTACTCTGGAAAGGCAAGAAATCTTAATGAAAGGACAAATGCTGTAAGCAAGAGAACAGGAGGTTTTACACACAACAGTTATTAAAATAGGTTTCAGGGTAGACGAAGTGCAACTCAAGAGATTTAGTGAACTGGAAGATAGATTTGGAGAAATCACTTGGAATTCAGCCTAAAATATTAAGTAGAGTTAAAAATTATGTAAGAAAGCAAGGAATTCTAATGTATGTGGCTGAACATTTTAGTAAAAAGAACAGGGAGAATCAAGAAGCAACAAATAAAGAAAAGTCCTTGGCAAAACATAGATTGAAGTCCTTGAATTAAAAAAGTACACTAATTCCTGAACATAAAAATAGAATAATAATAATAATAATAATATAGGAAAATAATATATATAGGAAAAATGTAGAGAAAATACATACAGGAAAATATCATAGAAAAATATATATATAGGAAAATATATATGTATCTATAATTGGGAAAATAAATTTGTCAGAAAATATATATAGGAATATATGTGTATATATATGTGTGTGTATGTGTGTGTATGTGTGTGTATGCATCATATATTTAGAGACATCACAGTGAAACCTTACAATATCAAAGACAAAGAGAATAAATGAAAAAGTATCCAGAGAGAAAGGATATCTACACAGAGATGACAAACTGCTAGCAGATTCCTTTTTAGTAACAGTGGATGCTAAAAGATGAAATAATGGCCACAAAGTACTGAGAAAAAATACCCATCTACTCAGAATTCTATGCCAAAGTTTCTCCTAAATTCTCATTTAAGAGAATGGCACAATAGAAACACTTAAAAATAAATTATTCATGGAGTTGACCATTTTTATGGCCCCAATGAACTAACACATGTACCTCAGTAGGGAAACTGAACCCAGAAGGAAGACTGAGGTACAAGAAGCACCAAGAGGAAAGACATCTGTAAGCATGCTGCCAAAGAGAAAGGAATACCAATCAGCCGCAGTGGTGCGCCCTCTTATCCCAGCAATCTGGGAGGCTGAGGTAGGAGGACCTCAGGTTTGAGACTAGCCTGGGCAACATAGTGAAACTCTGTCTCAAAAATTTAAAAACATGAAAAAAGGTCTGGGGATATTGGTGAGTGGTAGAAAGCTGTCGGGTTTAACCCCAAGTATCACAACAAAGGAAAGAAATACAATTTACTTAATATTTTCATGGTGTTTAAAGAAAGAATGTGGACAAGACTGTTAAAAAACAGTCACATGGGGGCTGGGGTTGTGGCTCAGTGGTACAGCGCTCGCCTAGCATGCGCGAGGCCCTGGTTCAATCCGCAGCACCACATAAAAATAAATAAATAAAATAAAGGTATTGTGTGTAACCAAAAAAAAGAAAAAAAGAAAAAGAAAACAGTTACATGAAAGACACAAGTGGAAAAATTAAAGCATTCACACACACACACACACACACACACACACACTTGGGATTGAACTTAGGGGTGCTTAACTACTGAGCCACATCCCCAGCCCTTTTTAATTTTTTATTTTGAGGCAGGGTCTTGCTAAATTGCTGAGGCAGGCTTTGAACTTGCAATTCTCCTGCCTCAACCTCCTGAGTTCCTGGGATTTATAGGCATGTGCCACTGCACCTAGCTAAAACATTCTTAATTTATTCTATTGCTCACAATGATGTAAAGAAACCTATTGATTTTTAAATCTCCTGAGCTGTGTTTTATGTTAAAAGTTAAGGATCACACTCAAAGAATACAGATAAAATGTATAACTTCCAAACTTGTATAGAAGAAAGGGAAATAAAACCTGGTCAGTCTAGTATCAGGGAAAAGAAAGGAGAAAAAGGAACAAAAATCATTGCAAGTAGAAAATCTTACTTAAGATGATTAAATACTATAAAAATGAAAATAGGTTAGACTCTTCTATTTAAAACACAGAAATTTTCACGTTGAATTTAAAAACAAAGCCAACTGCATGCTTTTTTTTTTTAAAGAGACGTATTTAGTAACTTTTGCTGTGGTAAACTAACCATACCAGCCCTCCTATTGTAGACAATTAGAGAAATGAACGCAATCTAAGAAATAACTTGTTTTCAGACAATAGGTAACAGGACAACAGGCACGGAACTCAATACTTAAGAGAAAGGAAACAATGACTTGAGTTCTACTGTCCTGGATTTTGCCTGAGGTCTTTTCTCAGCATGAGGGAGAGGGAATCCCAGCAGAGCCCAGTAGTCTTACTGGGATAAGGACGGAGACTGGTTAACAGGACAGAGGAGGGGGACTAAGGCCCCTGGAATTTGTAGGGCAGAGTACAGGAGGGGGAAGCTACATAAAGACCACTCCTGTGTAAGCTTGTGACACACTCTAAGGATCAAGAAAGGAATGAACATTGAGGATCTCTGAGAAAGGAAGTCCAGTGCTTTGGGATCAGAAGTCCAAACAGATTAGGAAGTTTGGAGTGTGGAATGAGCTCCATTTTCTTGCTAAAAGCCCAGGGAGAGGGCAAGGCTCTAGAGTAAGGAAAGTGATGTGTCTTGGTTGATGGGCCTGGGCCAGCCTCACAGAGTTTCCTGGCACCCTCCAATGACACAGGGGAGCAGAATGACTCTGAGGACTCCAGAAGGTGTGAGCTGACAGTGTTGTATGTGCATGACTCTTAGAGTGACAGCCTCCTTATATCTGTGTCATGGGTGCCTTGGTTGTGGATACTCTAATCCCAGCACTGCATGGAGAGGCCCCAGAAGATGAGCTCTCTTAGGGAGAGATTGCATGTAGAAGAACCAAGGTGGCCCTGCTGGGCTTCCAGCTGAACGAGGCCATCTAAGTGACCCAGCAAATTCCCAGTGAACCCACAGAATCAAGAAAAAGAACCACTAAATTGTTTTATGCCACTAAATTGTGGGCAGCTTGTTAAGCAGCAACAGATGACTGAGTCACCTCCCAATTGCAGGTGTAACTTAAGGGAAGTGGGAAAGAAAGCTGGTGTTGAGTATGTGTCTGCACCTGGAGGTGCTTTAGTCATCATGCCCCCTCATGAGGGGCAGACATGGGGGCTGTTCAGGCCAGCTAGACCTTGTTCCCCAGAAACCACTGGCACAAGAATTAAAAGTCATTCCCATGCCCCAGAAAAGACTGCCCAAAGATTCTTGCTACCAAGATCCCTGTATCTTCTTGGGCTCCCTGCTCTTCATCTTGGAGTTTTCCAGTACCTTCCAAAAATTTAATTCAGCCAGAATTGGTTTCTATTGTCTGTCATCAAAGAAACTTGACTGATACATGATACAGCCTGTTAGGACAGAAACTCAATGGTGTCTTTTGTATTTTTCAGTGTGGAGGTCACATGGCTGGCCATGTGTTGGCCTGGGCATCTGCAGTTCTTGCCAAAATGGTCACTTGAGCAAGAAGCACTGATTTATTTGAGTGGAAATCTGTCAACAACCCTTTGGAGGCCACTGTACCTCCTGGTCCACTGCCTCCCCAGAGAAGTCTCAGCCCCTCATCTCTCTTGCTCTTGGTAATTCTAGACATCAGCCCAGCCTGCGTCTTTCTCCCCTCCAACCTCCAACACCACCAGGTACAATGCTGGTCCTGCCACAGATTTTAATTTATTGCTGGATTGATTTGACCCTGAGTGTCCCTCTCCTGAGAATCCCACCTCCAGTCCACATGCCATGATGCGGTCCTACTGGGTGCACATAGGATAGGGTTGTGGGAAAACCACAGCGTGATGGCAGGGCCCCAAAGTCATGGGGCATTTGGGTGGGCACATGAGTGGCATAGCCTGGACCGACACCACAGGAGCCAAGCTCTCACATGAGGTAGATCCAGTTCCTACCACATGTGGGTCTAAGGGAGAATCCCTGGGTGACAAGTATTACCGTTTCTGCAGGACAGTAACAAACTCAGTGAGCCGGTCTCGCTCCACCTCGGTGGCCTGCCAGAGGGCCTTGATCTCTGTCACTTGTGCTTGCCAGCCTTTTTGTTCTGGGGAGTCCAAGCACCTGGGATTAGGGAGGAGGGCAGAGGGCAGAGGTCATCTGAAGCCTGAAGACACACACTTACCCCTGTGATGGTGGGAGGGAGTGGAAGGACAGTCAGAGGTTCTCAGAGACAGCCAGAGAAGGAACCCAACCCAACCCCTCCTGGTCCATCATTCCTAGCCTTATTTAGCTGCTAGAGTTATACTGGTACCTCTGTCCATCCCATTACTGTGGGGGGCTGAGATTAGTTGGGCTGCTATGAAAGCTGCCCAGGGTACCCATACCTGTGTGGTCTCTGGGGTTTGGCTGCTGTGCCCAATGTCAGGAGGCCCTAATCTGTGGTCCTGCCAGCTTGTCCCAGACTTTCTGCATCTCCTGGTTTGGCCCTGAATCCAGTCCACTCTCCTGGAGCCTGGACATTGGGCTTTGTGTCTTGGCCAATGTTCTCCAGTCCATCACTGCTTTGCTCCTTACCATTGGTCCTGCCTACTGGTTCCTTACCTGTTGGCTGGGGCCAGGTCAGAAGGTGGACTCTATGCTCCAAACCCCCAGAGCCCACGAGTAAGTTCCCTGTTGTTCTCTTGTGCCCTCACACTTCCTAGTGTGACATTGGATGACCCTGGACTCGCCCTTCAGCAATGTTGGATATAGGGAGGTTACAGAAATGGGCAGCATCTTGAAGCTGGTCTGGCATGTGAGCCTGAGGGCCAACTCTCTCTGGGGTGTTGGGAAGGCCTCTTACCCTCTCTTGGCCCCAGTTTTCCTCTGAATATTGAGGGGGTTGGTTGAGATGGGTTCTGAGGACTGCAGACCCCTCTGTGTTCTGAGTCCTAAAATGCTTTAGGGCATTGCTACTCAAATCAATAGCTAAAACTACTCTGCATCAGTGACTTTAGCATGGCCTAGAAGCTTGTTAGAAATGTAGAACCCTAGTCTCCATCCCAGACCTGCAGCCTCAGAACCTATATTCAACCTAGTAGATCCCTAGTGACCTATGTGCATGGCACAGCTTGGAAGGCCCTATCTGGACACCTCCATGATTCTCGAATGGAGCAGAGGAGATGCAAGAAGATGGGGCTGACCCCCAGCTCTGTCCTATTCCCAGGCATCCCATTAGATTCGCCTGAAGAGAGTGGGTCAAACCATGGCAGCTCTTTCAGATATACTCTCTGCCCCATGAACTCCTATCCCATCACTGATGGGAAGGAACTGTAAGCTCCATGAAGGCAAAGCCTATCTGTGTATTATAGAAGAAACAGGCTTGAGAACCAGCAGTCTGGGCAGCCAATCCTGTGTCCCTGTGGAGTTCAGAGGTCATAGCCACATAAGTTTGGAATGGTCATTTTGCTCATATCCCTGCTTTCAGAACTGTGATTGAAACCTCACAGAAAGAGTCTGCCCATCCTCCTTTTGCTGTGATGAGGCCTCCCCACCCTCAGTAGTGGCATGTGCCCTGTGGCTCTGTGTCAGTCTACTTGCCTCTAAGTGCTCTTGTGACCACAACCTGATGGGTGGGACAACTGCAGGTCTGACCTTGGTCCAGACATCAGGCCAGAAGTGTCTCAGGTACTTTAGGGGAGATGATAGACCAGAGAGAGGTCCAACTTGCCGAGAGCCACACAGTGAGTCAGAAGTAGGACGGAGCCCACTTGGGGACCTCGCCTGGAACCTGAGCTGACCTGCCTGAGGGGCGGGGGTGTACTGACAAGCAGGAGCATGGCTCCAGTGGACAGTGGGCAGGGCTCGGGACAGGACTTAGAGGTAGGACAAAACCATCCTTTGTCTATGAGCTGGCAGTAAGAACAAAAGGCCCATTTAAGCCCTTAGGCTTGATTCTATCAACAAAGAGAGGCCAGAGAGCTGAGGGGATATCAGTGACTTAAAGTGGGAACCCATATGAGGTGAAATTCTCCCTCTAGAGACTGATTTTCCATGAGGAAGAGAAGGCCAGTGAAGGTACTGGGAGCCAGGCCCAGGAAGATAAGGAACACAGTCTGGCATCAAGAGGCCAAGGTTCCAGTTCTCTACCAACTGGGACCTCAAATTCCTTGACCCTCCACATCCTTACTTAATTGAGGAAGAGTGCCTAGCTTTTGCCTGGCCTCACTTTCCCCTCCTTTGAATGGGCTCATACCTGGGTGAGGTCCTGTGGGGGCTGGACAGGGAAGGCCTGGTGAGAGCAGATTCCACCAGCGTGTGACCCAGGCTGCTCACAGAGCTGTGCAAAGGCAGAAGGGACCCATCAGCAGGGAAAGGCAGACTGGGCATGGCTGGGCCTCACCTCTGTGTGTGAGGTAGAATGGGAGCCAGCAGGGCTCCAGGAAGCCTGTGGAGGTGACCAGTGTGGGCCTTACAGCCCCCTGGGCTGGGTGGCCCTGTAGATTTGCTGCTCTTCTTTGCAGAATTCTTGTTTGCTCAAAATGAAACAGAACCTGGTGATATCAGAACTTTGAGCAACCATCCCAAGTTTGTTTGGGGGTCCTAGAAGCAGATGCATTCTGAGGCCAGCTCAGAGAGGCCATTATAGGGAGCTGCAACCAGTAATAAACCTGGACTTAATTGGTTCGTTCCTGCAGATGCAGAGCAAAAATACTGGGAGAGGCCCACGTATTGGAAGAACAACAGCCCGGTCATATTAAACTTGTTCCTATGGTTTCCCATCAGGGGCAGCAGGAAGCAACTTTTCTTCTGAATAATTAATAATTCGCTCTCCAACCCCTCTCTTACATTTTTTTTTCTTACCGAGAAGATCCCAGCCTGCCGATGTGGTTGCTTGCTGAGGCTGGAGGCTTGGCCAGACCCTGGTCCTCCAGGAGTCTGGTGTGGGCTGGGTGGACCTCAGGCCCGCTGGACTCCTCACCCACTACTTTATTCTGAAGATACTGTAGGGGACAGATGTGGGTTCAATTCTCAGAGCTTTGGCACAGTGGCCTGGAAAAGGCAGGAGGGGGCCTTGGCTCCCTTTCGGGGTTTTCAGGGGAAGTGAAAGAGTCTTCTTTTCAGAAGTGAAAAGCCAGGCCTGTGTGGTGAAGGCACTACTTGCATGATAATGACATCTAATAATGCCTCTCTTCAGAAAGGGAGCTACATGGTATGAGCTTGGTAGCTGGGCCAGGAAGTTGTCCCAAAGGGAGGTGTGCAGCCTTATAATTGGGGCAGATTGGAGATTGATAGCTGTAAGCAGGCCCCCTTCTCAGGGCAGCTGCACATAAATGCCAGGTATGACTGAGGCCAGCCCCCTTTGGCAGTTGGAATACCTAGACCTTTCATATATACCTGGAGCCAGAGAGTTTGGCAGGGTCTCGGCAAGGACTAGAAGCCTTGGGTGAAGGCTGGGCTTCCAGGTCCCCTCCCCTCCCACCACCCCTTCCTCTCCTGGATACTTGGAGGGGCCAAGCTGAAGAAAGAACATTAGAGGACTCTCCACAGGAGGTCAGGCTGTCATTAAGGAGTGGACAGTTGGTGTGAGTTCCTAACAACTGGCAAGACCCCACTCCCAGCCATTCTGAGAAATCTTGCAATAGGTGCCATCTTGTCTATGGGTAATGCTTGGCCCCCTACTGGCTGGTGACATCTGATACAGGATCTGTCCTCTCTTGTATGCCTGGAGCAAGGACAGTGATGTGAAGATTCTGGAATGTTCCTACGTGCCCTTTCAGAAGTCCCTCCCTAGTGAGCTGGGGATGGAAAGCGGGGTGAGGGCTACAAAGCAATGTCACACCGATTCTGTTCCAGCTTTCCTCCTGCTCCAGGCTTTCCCTCAGCCCTAAGGGCTTCAGCATTCTTTACCACAGCCAGTCCTATGGTCCCAGGCTATTGTGGCCCTGGAGATGGACTGCTATGTAGGACAAATCAGGCTGGTCACCTGGCAGCAGCCTAAGGCTGGACCAAGCTCTCACACCTCTGACTGGACCATGAATCCCTAGAAATAAAGGCAGGGCTGCTCTGTGACACACCTGTGGCTTTGCCAGTCAACCTCTCAGTGGACCAGAAGCTATAAGTCTTCTTTGTCATTGGGGGACCTTCATGCCTGTCACAGAATCTTTGTCCCCAGAGGCCAGTGATTCCTCTCCCCACACCTCAAGCTGGAGGTGCCTGACTCCTAGCAGCCTCAGCTGTGCCCTAGGCACCTGCCATGGAGCATCCATCGTGTGCTCGATTCAGGGGCAGGCACCAAGGCATGATGGGCTATGCCCCCTTGAAAAGGTTTAGCTTAGGGCTGCAGAGGGAGTTGGAAAGTGCCTGGGAGGGCCACACAACACATTCTGGGGGTCTGGCACTTCCTGGAGGTGTTCAGGACTAAGTAAGACCTAACAGCTGGGGGGTAGCTGGCCAGACAGAGGCAGCTAGGGAGGAAGTAGAGGTGCGCTTCAGGCTTGGAACAGCCCTGGAGTGAGGAGAAAGCAGAGTCATGTGAGGAGCGAAGTGGCATCTGTGTGCCATAATGTAGGAGGAAGGGGAAAGCTGATGAGAAGATGCAGAAGGAATGGCAGCAAGAACAGGTCACTCAGCATCCTGGAATCTGGATGAAGTGGTGTGGTCTTCTGGGGTTGGGGTTGTAGCTCAGTGGTGGAGCACTTGCCTAGCTTGTGTGGGGTACTAGGTTTAATCCTCAGCACCATGTAATAATAAATAAATAAAACAAAGGTATCATATCCATCTACAACTAAAAAAAATATTTAAAAAAAGAAGTGTGCCTTTCTTTCTGCTGTCCTGCTGACTGCAACATGAACATAATGGCTGGAGCTAGAGTCGCCATATTGGATTAGGAGAATGAGAGCCAGAGCTGGGAATGGGCGACCTGGATCCTTGAGGACTGAATAAAGCTGAGGTGAAGGGAAGCCATGGGCAGATTTTAAATAGAGCGGGTACACAACCAGATTTCTTTAGAAAGGAAAGGTGTGTGTGGAATGAGACAGGGAGCCAGATGGAAGCAGGTGGCTGAAGTAGAGCCAGGAAGGATGTGGTGTGGCTTGGCTAAGGCAAGTGGAAAGAAATGGAAGGAGCTGAGATTTCTCTGGATGTGGGATGGATTTACCAGGGCTTGGAAATGGATGTTGGGGCAGTGCCAGCACGCTACTCACCTGCACACCAAGTTGCCCGATCTCTAATTCCAGCTGCCGCACCTTGGCCTCACGCTTGGCCACCATGGCCTGCAGCTGGGCCACAAGGCTGCTGCTCTGTTGGGCCTGGCTGTTGAGATTCTGGTCCATTTGATGCTGGGATGTGCGCATCTTTTCCTCCTGTAGATTCAAGCTGCCCAGAATGTCCTGTAGCTGTTTCAGTTGGTCCTGGTGGGTGGGCAAGCAGGAGGACAGATGGGGTCAGTGGAGGGCTGCTCTGGGCAGGGAAGGATAAGAGGAGACTGCTTCCCCACCTGGAGCAACCCACCCCTCCCCCTAGTCACTGGGAACCTAGTGGTGGGATACTAACTGTTTTACTGAGAAGGAAGAACATATTCTTTGCCTGCCCTGGGTGGGGCTAAAAACAGACAAGTGGGAAATGTACCCTTCTTCTGTCCTTAAATTCCTTCTTCCTAAGATGAGGACTGAGAAAGATATCAAAAGAGCTCTTGAGGACTAGAGAAAGTTGCTCAGAAGGTGGCTCCTCAGCTGGTAGGACAAATATTTGGGTAAAAGAAAGCCTGATCCCACTGGGTTGGGAAAGTACCTTTGGAGGCAAGACCTAGACTCTCCCAGAGATTCTTTAGCATCTGGCTGAGGCCCCCATACCTGAAAAGGGAGACTGGGGTGGAAGCAGGAGCCTCCTGCCTGGGGGCCAACAGGAAGGACAATGTCAGTGATTGGGAACAGGTTGGGGGCTGTCGTCCTCACCTCCTAGTGAAGGAAACTGAGGCTCAGAGAACCCAAGGACACATTTCTGGTGAGTGGATGGAACTGATTTATAGCTCTTATTATGCCATCTTCAGTGACAAAGGATGGTGGCATGCATGGACTTCAGGGGACATCCGCTCTGTATCTTATTTTAAAAACGGTTGCTGAGACTCAGAAAGGAGAGCACTGGGCCCCAGGACATCCAGCAAGGTACCAATGGAGGCAGGCCTATCTTACTGTTCTACAGCAAGCCAGGCATAACATGCCTGGGGTGTGTGGGCACAACTTAGAATTGAGACATCAAACTCTGGGGATACTTCAGGTCCCACAGAGAAAAGCCCAGGCTGTAGGAAAGCAGTATGGCCTTGCTCATCGAGGACAGTTTTGTAGTCAGGAAAACCTGGTTTGAGCTGAGCTGTGTATTTTGGATGAGTTATATGACCTTTTGGAATTTTGGTTTCCCCGTCTGTGGAAAGGGATTACACTACGTGGCTCTAGGATCAACCATTATCAAGTGCTCATGACATCACACAGGCAAGGGTCTGCGCCGGCCCCTCAGTTGTCCCTTCATTCCTTGTTGAAAAATAACCCATGGTGTGATCTGTCTCTTCCTTCTTCCCCCCATCCTTTTCTTTATCCTTTGAGGTCCATACAGCCAAGGCCTGAGCTGGGTACTGCTGTCCCAGCCCTCTTCATGCCTCAGGCAACCCCTCTAAGCTGCTTCCTGTCCCAGGGGTAAGGCCCTGGTGGTGCGGCCCATCTGAAGTCAACGCCATCTGGGTTAAGCAGGTGGCCTTTTGTGGGAGTGAGGGCTCACTCGGGCTGCTGGGGCTGGGTCTCAGGGGTCTGGGAGGCTGGTGGCCCATCCTTTGGGAATCAGGCCCTGGCTCTTGCCCTGCCCGAGTGGCTGGGCCATACCATGAGGGCATCAATGAGCTCGTCATCATGTCTGCCCTTCTCCACCAGGGTCCCCATCTGGCTCCTGAGGGTCTTCACTTCGTTCGATAGCACCTTGTTTCGAGACTTCACTCCCTCAGACTTCTTTCTCAGCTCTTCTAGCTCTTTTTGGAGGGTATCCCGCTCCCCAGCAAGTTTCTGTAATTAGAAATTGAGAACAGGGCAGTAGGGCTGGGTGGGGCCTTGGCACATCTGGTCCCTGGCTCCCACTCACTGGGAAGGCAGGGGCTGAGGCTAGGGGCACTGTTGAAGGCTGTAGAGCAAATCAGTGGAGCCGGCTCTGACTCCCACCCTCACTCCTCAGGAGTGTCAGGCGGGACTGTGCCTCCCAGCTTGCCCTAGCACTTGACAGACAGCACTCATGGATGACAGTGCTCCTGCCCTCAGCCTGAGAACTCCACCTTCCAGGCACATGGGAGAAAACCCACAGGCAAATCTTGGTGTGACCTCCAGAAAGCTGTCCCACCTCTCAACCCCCTTTCCAGCTAGAGAAAAGAGAAAAACCACACTTTAGGGAAGAGCACTAAGTCTAGGGTTCAAATGGAAGTTCTTAGCCCCTCAGAGCTTGAATGAGAAGTTGCCCTGCCTCCCCATCCTCTCACTTCCTCCACCAGCACCCAGCACAGCACCCCAGACTGTGCCTTGCTTGGTCAGTGATAAACTGGAGACTCGCATGCTACACACATCTCTGAGGCTCTCATTCCTTCATTCTCAAGTGTTTCCTGAGGACCCACTATATGCTTGGCATTGCAATAGGTGCTGACAAATGCCAACTGAAGAGTGAGGGAAAGGGGTGGGAAGATGGAATATGGTTAAGCAAGGGCTTCCTCGAAAGGTTATAGCTGCAGAGAGACTGAAGACCAAAGCAAAGATCTGGGGTGGAGCATGTGTGGGTGGAGCACCATGAGTGAGGGGGCAGCTCAGGGGCAAGGGCAGAGGGGCAGAGGCCAGAGGAAGTATTACCTCCCGGCCTTTCGAAGTTAGCTCTGAGACACTGAGGGAGATTTTGGGATAGTGGGTGACATAATCTGACCTGGTGCTGAGGCTCACTTAATGCTGGAAACATGTCTTCAGATCCTCAATGGGGTAAATTATGGAAACGCAAAACGAGTAAAACAATATAAACCCACAGGACCATGAGCCCTGTGTGGGGAGGCAGTCATTGTTTACTTGTGCTCTGATGTCACGCTCTGGGCTCTATGGGACAGCTGGCCATTTCCTCCCACTAGTATTGTAGCTTATTGCTGGTCAGCCATTCAAGATGCTCTCTGGATTGTGAATGTGCAAGCCCAAGCTGTGTGCATTTCAAATCTAACATTTCCAATCCTCACCTCCCCTTTGCCCCTTGAACCTACTTCTATTTCCCCTAACCACATGTGACACTCTCTGAAAGTCCTTTATGATTCTACCTACTCCTTTTCCTTCCATGTTCAGTCACTCACAGAGTCCTGGAGTCCACTGTTAATGTCCAGATATCCAGCCCTTCCACTACAGTCCTATTATCTTGTTGTAGGTCATGTCTTGAGCAGATTATGCTCTGCTTCCAATATCTCCTCCACCTCCCAACTATGTGACATTTTCAAAAAGCACAGTTAGCCATGTTCATTCACAGCTTGAAACCCTTTGGAGATGCTCCACCATCTTCAGGATAAAAGCCCTCCCTCCTGGCTGCCATTCAAGGTCCAGCAGGTCCTGGCCCTACCTACATCTCCAATCTCACTGTTCCCCTCATCAAAACTGATGGTCTAGAATGCTGGGAGGAATATGTGATGATGGTCACCAGGTTCCCAGCACAGGGTCCAGCCTGGAGTTGACACAAATGGAAGCCTCCCAGTGAAAAGTTTAAGGCTTCACTATTAGGAAGGACATTGTCTCAGGGTCACTGAAGTGGGCCAATTGTTTGGCCTTCTAGCACCTCCTCCTGCTTCCTCAGCTACTTTCTTTGAAGTAGACCCTACTTGCTACTCTCAGTCCAAATCTGGGGAAACTGACTCAATACCCAAACTTGGTGAGAGAGAGAGAGAGAGAGAGAGAGAGAGAGAGAGAGAGAGAGAGAGAGAGAGAGAGAATTTTATTATTTATTTCTTAGTTTTCGGTGGACACAGCATCTTTATTTGTATGTGGTGCTGAGGATCGAACCTGGACCACACGCATGCCAGGCAAGCACCCTACCACTTGAGCCACATCTCCAGCCCCCAACCCCTTGCATTCTTGGCCACAAGGATTGGCTCAGGGATGGGCACCTGACCCAAGCTAGGCCAAACTTTGTTGGAACTACTGGGATAGGCCCTTTGTCTGTGGGGGCTGGGTTAGAATAGAGAACTCAGGACTGCCAGGGATTCCCATGGGAGCAAGTGAAGTCAATCCAGGAGAGAGTGTACTAAGACAAGATCTAAAAGTCCCTGGATCCATCCATACCTGAAGCTAGGGCACTTCTAGACTAGTCATTTACACGGGCTAACAATTTCTCTTTGTTGTTTAAACCTGGTAGAGTTAAGATTTTCAACACCCTCAAGCTGCAGACTCTGCTGCTGATTCCAACTTGCCCATCTCTTTTATTAGCCTGGAACTCTCTATCCTCCTTTAAGACCCATCTAATCTTATTCCACTTTTGGAGCTATGACTCTCCTCCTTGCTCCCTTTCACAATCAGGGTTACTCAAAATTCATTGAATGGTCCCAGAGTGAAGCCCCATCAGGCAGCTAGAGCTGGGTTGATACAAAGCAAGGAACATGCACAGAGGTGACCCAAGGCCCCAGGCATCTCCTGCCTGTGGGGAAAGCCTCAGACCCTCATGGGAACTCTGATGATCTTCCCCTTGTCCACCTCACCTCCTTACTGGGCATGCATTACCTCCCAGCCTTCCTGTTTTTCCCTTTCCAGGCTGCGGATCCTCAGTAGGTTTTTCTCCTGTGCCGACAGCTTCTTTGGGTCTGGGTAGATAGGGAGCTCATCATTGGCTGTTCCTGCAGACCTACTCCGGGTCTGTCCCAGCTGCTTCTCAAGCTCTCGAACCTGAGGGTGGGAAAACTTGTTCTACCATGTGTCTGCAGTCAGACCAGCACTCTGAGGTGCCATGGATCCTGAAGACAGAACCACTGTTCCAGATGGCTGTGGGAGCCCCAGACAAGGGGGCCTGGAGTGAAAGATCTGAGTTGGTATTTTGAGCAAAGCAGGAAGACACTCAAGAGGTTTAGCTTAGAAAAGACACACTTCAAAGTGAGAAAATCACCCCACTTCTGAGGGGCTGTTTGAGGGCAAGAAGCAGATGTATGGCCCCAGCAACCTGGAGGGATAGGAAGGCAAGCCTCAGTACCAGGAAGAACTCTAACAGACAGTGTGGAGGGGGAACGTTCTTGGGAGATGGTGGGCCATAGGCAGGAGAAACAGCAGAAGGAGGGTGGGGTTTGGAAGTGAAGAACCTGGCTCAAATCCTCACTGGCTGTGTGATTTATGCACACCTTAACTTCTCTACATCAGATCTCCAGGGCAAGGGTATGGGAATCTGCATCTTAAACCAAGGCTATGGGTGACTTTTAAGATTAGGCAATGTAGAGAAACCCCAAGATGGCCCCGGTGAAGCACTCAGCACAGAGCTCAGCACACATGGGCTCTCACAGTTTGCAGGTAGATGTCATCCCACAGAACAACACCTTTATCACACTGGAATTTAATCAGAGAACTCCCAGGGTCCTTCTTATACTGGTTTCCATGTCAACGCAACCAAATGATGGAAGGAAGTTGGTGAACTCGAGCCAGGAGAGGAGGCAAGATTCACTAGGATCACTGGTAAAGGGCAGGAGCATTGCTTTGAAAGCACAAATTAGTGCCCTCCTGTGGCACTGTATGGTAGCTCCAGTTAAACCTTAAAGAGCACAGTGTTAGCTGAAATTATTTAATATATTACTTGAGTGCTGACTGTGGCAGGCACTACACCCAGTGCTTTACAAATATCATTTTTATTATCATTATTGGTACTGAGAATTGAACCCAGGGGTGCTTAACCACTGAGCCACATTCCCAGCCCTTTTAAAATATTTTATTTAGAGACAGGGTCTGGCTGAGTTGCTAAGTGCCTTGATAAATTACTAAGACTGGCTTTGAACTCATGATCCTCCTGCCTCAGCCTCCTGAGCTGCTGGGATTATAGGCATGCAATACCACGCCCAGCCAAATATTATTTCATTTAACCATATGACACCCTACAAGGGCAGTATTATGATCTCTACTTTGCAAATGGGAAAATAAGACCCAGAAAAGAAGAGATTTGCCTGAGGTTACAGACTAATAGAACAGTGAGAGGCTGGATTCAAACTCAGATCTCTTGGATCCCAAGGCCTTGCACTGATCAGCAACTAGAGGTTTTGTTTTTTTCTTTTCTTTCTTTCTTGTTTTTTTTTTTTTCACCTTCATGTTGGCTTCAAGTAGACCCTGAGAATAAAAGCCACTAGTCATGACCCTGATGTTGCTGGGAATGAAAGTGATGTGCTCATGTGTTTTTCAGTTTAAGGGTAAAAAGAAAAAAATCACTGCTGCTAATCTTTGTCCAGGCCTTTCTCTGGGCCAGGGACTATGCCTAGCACTCTGTACACATTGACTCATTCATTCCTCCTGGCAACCCTGGGGGTAGGTGCAGTTATCCCCATTACACAGATGAGGAACTGAGGCACACAAAGGAAGGAATTTGCTTGAGGTCATCCAGCCAGTGAGTGGAGAATCAGGGCTGGAATCCAAGCAGCTGGACTCCGGAGCCCTTGTTTTCAGCCTCCTTTGGTCTGCTCCAAAATATTTAGAAAACAAAGAGGGAGACAAGACAAAGTTTTTATTGGGTAATGAAAACTTTCAAAAGACAACAAGCATCTGGATGAAACTGGAAAAAGCCTACAATTACAACAGTCACGCAATCTTACGTGAACCAGGAAAAAATATGCCTGGAGAAAAAGAAGTCAAACCAAAGGCATTGGCATTCATTAAGTGCCAGTGCCTGGCATGTGGTGTTATGTAAGTGCTTGTTCATTAAATAACAAATTAAAATCGGGCTAGGTGGAGAACATAAACACCGGCCTGAGAGTACGCTCTGCAGGACGTAGGCCTTTGGAGCTCTGAGTGCTCACGTCTCTAGCACAGGTCTCTGGGCCTTTTAAACCCTCTGTTCTGGGCCAGGAGCAGAGTGATGACACACTCACCTTGCTCTGAAGAACGAGAATTTGTTGAGCCCTTCCCCTCCAGGTCCCCGGAGAGGATAGGAGCTGCTGGATGTTCACATCTTCCCCAACCTCACTGGACAAAACCTGCAATGAGGCAGCGTGTTCAGAGTAGCAGGAGACAGGGCTCCAGCAGACCCTGACACAGCTGTGTCTTCAGAAGTGGTGCTGGTGTGTGGGACTCCTGGGGGCAGCCTGCACCACAGGCCGCCCCCCACCTCAGGGCGTAGCCCTAAAGGCTGGTTTGCCACTTTCCTGGCTCAGCTCTCCAGGGAAAGTAGCAGATCCATCATTGCCAGAGTTTCTTCATGATGCTTAGAGGAGCCATTGCCAGGAACTGCTAGCAATGGCCAGGTAGGTCCCCTTGCTCATGGCACATTGTGTAATGAGTGGACCACAGAGCTGACCAACACCTGCTTCCTTAACCCATTCACTTATCAACTAGACCTGAGAGAAGTCTGGATGAATACAGGAAGTACACGGCCTCAGGGTCTTGACCTTTGCGAAAAGCCACAGACCAGTGGCCATCTGAGTGTAGCAAGGAGGAGTGCTGGAGTGGCGCTTGAGGATGCTGTGCTTCAAGAAGGGCACAACTCTGTGGCTACTGAAGTGCCGTGTTCAGCTCCACCTCAGGGTCTGAGGCGGAAGCAGGACACTCCAGCTTGTGACCTGAGCTCTCTGAAGCCCAATAGGAAATCCCTTTCAGTGCACCAAGTTACCAAGTCCTTGGTGCTTGTTTCCACAATAGAATGTTGTTTTGGAAATCTTGGCTGGTCTGAGAGGTTCCAGCAGGGAAGACAAATGCCAGAGAATTCACTACATAAATAAAAATAAACAACGAACCAGCTGGGCCTCCAGGGCCTGTGCCCCACGTCTGAGTGCTTTCCTTTGAAAGGGCCCTTTAATGCACAAACCTCCTGTTCATTTTCTGACACTACAGATAGCAGAGGGCAGGGGGAAGATCTTGGCAGAATTTTGAGTCAATGGTGGCTTATTAAGTGGAGACCCAGGATCTATTAGGGCACAGGGAATGTAGGGAAGGCTTAAAGGAATCCCCCTGGGTGGAAGGGGTATCCTCCCTTAGTCCAGAGCTAGGCAGGCACCACAAAGGAATAACCCTAAGGCAGCTGGTGACCTTGCCCATCAGATGGGACTATACCAAGGAGCCCTGAAAGGAAGTTACTGGATGTGGAACCTGACCCAGAGCAAGCAGGATGCTCACTGGCAGGGCACTCCCTGCTCTTGGACGATGGAAGCTGTGTGCCAGCTGTGCTCTTCCCAAGGCCAGCCCCAGCCCTCAACAAGTCCCAAGCTGAACCCAGGTTCTGAAAGACCTTCTGGGTCATCCGGAGCTCCTGCTTCACGGACTGAACCTGGTTGCGCAGATCACTCATCTTCAGGTTCATGGTTGCCAGCCTGTCCTTCAGGGCCTTCACCTCTGGGGTCTCCGGCTGGTTGGCAAGAACAGGGAGAAAGCAGTCACTTGTTGCCTGAATTGTAATAGCAATCAGCCCCTATTTATCCAAGTCTGCACGGGGCACTGTGCTGGGTGCTAGGTGCTTGGTGCTTCCTAGCATGGACTCTCTCTGCTGTGCTCAGAGATGCACTCTCAGCTGTGCATCACAGCTAGTTTATCTGCCCTTAGAAGAGGGAGGGAACTTGTTCATTCACAGAAGGCCACTCCAACTTTGCAGGAGGGCCATGACCTTCCTAATTCAGGGTCTCCCTCTCCCAGAATCACACTGATCAACCTGGGCCTTGTCTCTGACAGATGAGGGGCTTTGGGCTCCCTTGAGGGCAGTGTGCTCACTGAACAGAGAAAAGGACCAGTTTCCCCCCTAAACACTCCATCTCTGAGACTTAAAAAGCTGCAGCAACCATGGAAACTAAACTGACTGTTGGACCTCTTAATGATGTCTTTTTCCTTTTTTAAAAAAATAATGCTTGGGGCTGGGGTTATTGCTCAGTGGTAGAGCACTCGCCTAGCACATGCAAGGCCCTGGGTTCGATTCTCAGCACCACATAAAAATAAATAAATAAAATAAAGGTATTTTGTCCAACTATAACTAAAAAATCAAATATTAAAAAAATAATACTTGATGCAATGTTGCAATGTTTGGCTACAGCTTTTTCTCCAATGAGCTGACTACCTCTGTGTCTTCTATATACACTGAGGAAGCCTCCAAGATCAGCCCATTCAAACTCCTTCCATCAATGATGAAAATAAAATCCAGAGAAGGGAAGTAACTTGCCCTCGGGCACACAGCTGGTTGGGGGTGACATAAGTAGGAATAGAACCCTGGAATGGACCCTGTCCTGGTTGATCTTCCCAATTTACGCAGTTGCTGCTGTCGCTGTTGCTGGCAGCAGTAATGTTTGTTGGTGGACTGAGCATCACCAAGCAATGATGCTGGGTCCCTCTGCTCCTGCTCCAACAGACTCAGAGTGCTGGACTTCTGGGAAGCAGGGTGAGGGTACAGCGACGTTCTAAATCTTCTTCAGTAGGCACAAACAAAATCTCCTGTGGGTGCCATTATGAAAGACAGTATGGGAAGTTCCATGGACCCCAGAGGCTCTGAATAGTTCAACTGAAAACCAGCAGTCAAAGAAATTATTTGGACACATGGTCTAGAAACCCTGATGGTATTTTTTCCTCATCTATGGAATGGGTGTCCTGCTTCCTCCCAGCACCATCATGGGGCTAAAACGAATAACCAGTGTGGACAGAATTTATGAACTGGAAACTTATGTGAAATACAAGTATATCCTTTTGTAAAAAAGACATTTTTTCCATGTCCTCCTGCATGTCTGGCTGCCTGCCATCCCCTCATTGCTATTGGGTGCCTATCTTCTTGCCTGTTAAATGTGTGGCTTTGAATCTGTCCTGAGCTGGAAAGCAACACCTACTTCTCCCTGTCAGATCTTCATGCCATGAGTCCCAGTGGTCCTGGCAGCCCTGATGCTGAGAGCTGAGGGAGTACATGGGCTTCTCCTGGGGCTGCTATGACCCTGCAGCATCTCTCTAGTCAGAGCATGAAACTAGCATCCAGGTTGAATCTGGCTCTAGATCCTGGTTAATGGTGCCCTCTCAGCCTCCTGTCCTCACCTGTAAAGTAGGGGTATGTGATATTCATTTCTGTGTACCTGCAACGGTTGATGGGATAACTCTAGTAAAGGGCACTATCTAGGCCAGGTTCTGACAGAGGGAAATTCCAGGGGCCTTTTGTCAGCTCTGGCAGCCAGTTGGCAAAGTGGACTGAGGCCAAATGATACTCTGGAAAGGGCTGGGCCAGGGCCTAGTCCTTTTGGGCAGCTGGGTCCGGCCTACCTTGCAGCCATTTTGGACCTCTTTCTACCCAGAGTGAAATTCTATAGGCTTTAGGGGGGACCTGGTATAGGCACATCTGCAGCCATCCTGGGCTGTTTCCTTTGAGGGAATAACTGGAATGCAGTCCAGGAGAGCAATGCCAACAGTGCTCATGCCTCAGCCTCACGCAGCCCCATGCAGAGCACCGGGCCTCAGCTCCACTCTGGAATGTACTTTAGAGGCGAGGCCAGAATGTGGCAGCCTGGGCCACCCCACAGAGTGATGAGGGGAGCATTGCTCTTATTCTCACTCCGATCATAAGATGCCAGGGAAACCATGTGGTATGGATGAACTGAAGCTTGCAGCCCCACACATGCTCTTCTGTCAGAAGCTCCCCAGGCTGCCCAAGGCCACAGAACTGAGTAGAAACTCCTGCTCCACTACTTTCTGAGGACCCCCTCCATGGGTGACCCCGCCCCAGCTCTTTTTGGCTCACATTCCTTTTCCCTGCTGTGGGCTCTGGGCTGTAGCCCAAAGGCTATCCAGCTGGCATCCAGGTAAGCAAATTGAATGGGAAGGCTGAGTGCTTCCTAGCCTTGGCCCTGGCTTGCACTGTGCTCCTGGAAGGCCCTTCCTGTTCACCAGAAAAGCCAAGTTCAAGGATGCCCCCATCTCTCTTCTAGCTGATTTTCCTGAAGGGTATACTCCCTTTGTGAACATAGTGCCCTGGGGCTTTCTCTGAAGGCCCTGTCTGCGTCCTTCTTTCACATGGCTATTTCTGTCCCTCTTGGATGCCTCTGGGGACAGAGGTCCTGTTTTGATTCCTATGTTACAGGGCTCAGAAAATCCCAAGAGGCTCAACAGGTGACTGAACAAACAGTTTCTCTTTTAGGGCTGCTCTCCGGGGAACATGGAGGTGCTTGATGTTCTGGATAAACCAGGGGCAAATTAGCAGCATCCCTCAGAGCCAGGAAAGGCCTAGAAGAACACTCAGTCCAGTCCCTGCCAAGGGCAGAGTCTCACTTCCGCCTCCCCAGCAATGAGACAAGTTTACACAAGGCTAGACTTAAGGGGACACACACACTCCACACTGGGAGACTGAGTCCTCAAGACAGGACTGAGGTGGACTAATCCTGCAACACGGCACACGGGGCAGGAAAGGGAGCACCAAACTAGGAGTTCTGGGCTCAGCTCCCTGTCACCAATTGACCTGGTTTCCCAAGAAAACCCTGGTGAGTCCTCCCAGGATATTATGTTTTTGTTTTTGGCACAGAGGATTGAACCCATGGGTGTTTTACCACTAAGCTACATCCCCAGTTCTTTATATTTTATATTTGAGGTAGGGTCTTGCTAAGTGGCTGAGGGTCTCACTAAGTTGCAGAGGCTAGCCTTGAACTTACGTTCTTTTCTGCCTCAGCCTTCCAAGTAGCAGGGATTACAGGCATGCACCACAAATCCAGCTCCTCCTGGGATGTTCTTGAGACTGATGCTGTTTCTAGTCTGGCTTGGGCTACCTGCCTCTGGCAACCCACTGGATTGCCTTCCTTTCATAAAGTTACAATTCCTACACCTCCTGGCTTTCATGGACTGTGTGCTGGTTTAGTAAAAATAGGATCTGGGGAACAAGCCCCTATTCCCCAAATTTACTCTTATTCTGTAGATTTGGAGCTCTGCAAAAAGCAAGACTCTTCATAGTATGATTGCCCATAAAGAACAGGAACCCATTGGGCAGGGGTGAATTCCCTGTCCCTGGGGCAAGGTAGAGTTGGATCTCCCTAGTGAGGAGCTATAAAGGTGATGATTGGACGTAGCAGAGGCCAGTTGGTCCAGGCCTACCCTTCTGGTGCTGAGGTTCTAGGATTCCAGGGGCCTGAGGTCCCTCCCACCTGCCCTCTCTGGAGAATGAATCAGAGCTAGATCCACCCTGGGGTGTAGCCAGGGCATCCTGGCCTCAGGCCATAGGCTGCCTAACCTTCCTGATAGCAGCTCTGAGGAGGCTGCAGTGGTAGACAATGAGCCCCTGTCTCAGCAACAGGTGTGTGTGGGTGGGCCCTGGCAGAGGCACCTAGGCCCTGGCTCTGGTGGAGGAGGGGAGGCCCTGGCTGATAGCACTACCTCATGCACTCCCCTGTACAGAAGAGAATCCATACCAAGGCTTTGTCTCCCAGCTGGGCCCTCTGTGGCTTGGCTCCTGCATCGGTGGACCCCTTGGCTGGCAGCCTGGACAGGGCTGTCTGCAGCTGAAAAAGCAAAGCATGCACTTAATGTTTAATTCTGCTCCACAATTGCACAGCTCAGCTGAAGTGCTCTGAGTGTGTGGTTACCTGTCTTAGAGGTTTGTCCTTTTAGTTCACTTTAGGATCATTAATGGAAGAATTCTCCTTTACTAACTGCTCTGTGATGGGAGAGGGTTTAATTGATTGCCTCCCCCACTCCTCAATTGAATGGTAAGAAAAGTTTAAGGCTAATAACTTAATAAATAATAATGCTATAGTCATAATCTGTCTCCAGGAATTCTATCCAGAGCCAAGGAGTGGAGAATAAAGGAATTATGGACTTCAGGTTACAGATGAGACAACAGAAGTAGAGACACAGAGATGCTGCCACATTGGCTCATGGCCTCATGGCAAGACTGCTGCAGACATCCAGACAACTGAACCTTTAATTATTTCTTTATTGTTCTTTGCACAAAGACCATACCCTATCTGACACTGTGAGGCATGACCCACTCTCCAACCTCTCTGACCTCATCTTGTGTCTGCTCTTGACCATATTCAGGCCTTCATTTTGCTCCGGGCCTTTGTGCCTGCTGAGCCCTCTGCCTGGAGGCCATTCCCCACCTACCTCTCTGAGTCTTGTATGTATGTACCTACTCCCTCCATGATCTCTTTAAGCAGCTCCCATCCAGGTCCTCATCATCTCCTTGCCATGGCCATTACTCAACATGTTGCTCTCCTTTACCTCTCTGCCTTGGTTTATTCATAGTCATGCCCAAATCTGTATTGGTCTGTCTTCCAGGAGGCCAGGAATCATCCTTCCCTACAGTCTCCCCCAGGGCCCAACAGAGACCTTACATGGTTCTCAAAAAATACTTCATAGAAAAAAGGAGCTCTTATTCAAGGCCAAGTGTGATGACTGACATGGATTCTGGAAGGGTCTGGAATGGAATATAGCCTAATACTACCACATCTGGTGTGGCCTGAGAAGGCCTCTCAACCTCTGGCAGCTTCAGCTTCCCATATTACACTGGGAGAAGCTGTGAGGTGTCCCTCTAGCCTCTGGATCCATTCTAAATCCTAAGGGACCCTGAGCCATTTGGGCTGTGCCTTTGATCGACCATCTGTGGGATCATCTGTGGGAGGGCAGGAGGCTGCAAAAAGGAAGAGGGACATCAGGGAGATCTACTGATGGAAGGTCTCTGGCTCTGGCTTCTGATGAATAAGGATCTCTGTGAATTTATTTAGCAAATGTTTATCTAGTGCTTACTAGGTGCCAGGCAGTGTTCTAAGCACTTTATAATGTTAAATCATTTAATCCTCATAAAGCCTTAGAGTGGGTACAATTATTGCTACCATGTGACAGATGGAGGATGCTGAGACACTGAGAGCTTATGACTTGCTCACAGTCACAGATCTATCAGTGCTGGAGTTGAGAGCCACACCCTGGTAGTCCGGCTCCAGTTTTGTACCCTTAGCCACTCTGCCAGGCTGCTTCTCAATGGCCTGTGTCCCCTTGCTTTCCCTCTCTGGATGTGACAAACACTGAGGAACTCACTGCAATTTCAAGCCCTTCAGAAGAACCCAAAGCATCTAATGGCTCTCTCTCTGGACCAGGGCGCTAGGAGTGTTACCCCCCCCCCCCAAGGAAAAATGACTTAGGCCCCTCACTTCCCGCTCCAGCTCCTGGATCCGATTGGTCAGCTGCTTCATTTTCATTTTCCCACCCTCTGACTCTGCCATCAATGCCCGATTCTTTTTGGAGAGTTCCACAATTTTGGTTGCGACTACATCTCCAGCCATACCAGCACTCCCTAAAATGAAAGAAATGGTGAGGTCAATTAAAAACACAGGTCTGCACATCAGACTCATGCCACACCTCCAACAGCACCAGGGTTTAAAAGCCAAAGTACTGGGAATGAATGGTCACAAAGGGTAGAGGTCCCGGAGAGTCACCACATGCCAAGGAACCCTAGGAAATGCAGCCACTTAGATTCAGTCTTTCCTCAGCTGTTCTAGGAAAATTGTAAGATCAGAAAGCAGACTTTTACTACACTGAGATTCCATCTCACTCCAGTCAGAATGGCAATCATCAAGAATACAAGCAACAATAAATTTTGGCAAGGATGTGGGGAAAAAGGCACACTCATACATTGCTGGTGGGACTACAAATTGGTGGGACCACTCTAGAAAGCAGTATGGAGATTCTTCCAAAAACTTGGAATGGAAACACCATTTGACCTAGTTATACCACTCCTAGGTTTATACCCAAAGGATTTAAAATCAGCATTCTACAATGACATAGCCACATCAATGTTTACAGCAGCTCAATTCACAATAGCTAATCTATGAAACCAACCTAGGTGCCTTTCAACAGATGAATGGTCAAAGATTTTGTGAGATATATATATATATATATATATATACACACACACACACACACACATACACACACACACACACACAGAGACCAATGGAATATTACTCAGTCTTAGATAAAAATGAAATTATGGCATTTGCCAGTAAATAAATGGAACTGAAGAATATTATTCTAAGTGAAATTAACCAATCTTAAAGAACCAAAGGCCAAATGTTTTCTCTGATATGTGGATGCTAATTCACAATAAGACGGGGGGAATAGTGGTACTTTGGATTAGACAGAGGGGAGTGAAGGGAAGGGAGGGGTATAGGAGTCGAAATAATAGTAGAATGAACAGACATTATTACCCCATGTGCATATATGATTACAAGACTTGTGTAACTCTACTTCATGTACAACCAGAAGAATGAGAAGTTACACTCCATTTATGTATGATGTGTCAAATGCATTCTACTGTCATGTATAACTAATTAGAACAAACTTTTAAAAACATTTTAAAAAGCAGAGTTTTAGTTCTGTGGGAGACAGGCTTATTGCTCTTCACATAATCTCAGTGATGGGATTGTAATTCACACCCTATGATCTGTGATTTTCCTGTGTCCTCAAACGATCAGGGTGCGTGTCCTCAACCCTCCTGTATCTGCCTGGCTCTGGGCTTTGGCTGATGAGATGCCAACAGCTGAGGTGTGGGCAGAGGCTTGGAGAGCATGCGTGTAGTTAAGCTTGCTCTGCTCACATATGCCATCTCCACAAGAACAAATCCATGCCAGCTAGTTGATCCCAGGAGGAAGAGGGGCACATGAAACAAAGCTGAACCATTACAGCCAAGCCTGGCCTAGTTCAACCAATCTCCAATTAACCCCTAGATGTTTGAGCTAAATAAATTATTATTACCAAATGCTGCTGAGATTATGCAGTTGTTTCTTACACAGAATTTTGTGGTAACATCTAACCAATATACATTCATACATTCACTCAGCAAATGTTTTACTAGTTTCTACCAAGTACTTGACCCTTTTAGAGATTCAGGGGTAAATAAAAAAGATGGATGGGATTTACATTGTAATTAATTATCTGTAGGGAAGACAGATAATAAAACATCAAACAAATAAGTATTAGAAGATCTGGAAGGAATAAGTGATATGAAATAAAAAGAGAGGCTGAGCAAAGTATGTTAATGATGGGGTGATGCTACTTTACCTGGAGCAGCCAGGATAAGGTAATATGTGAAAAGACCTGAATGGATAAAGTAAGGAATCAAGTAAAATAAGGAATCAAGCCAAGAGAAAGCAAGTTCTCAACTAGGAAGAGTGTCCTAAGTAGAGGATACAGCAAGTGCACAGGCTTGGAGATGGGGGCATGCACAGGGAATCTGAGGAACATAAAGTAGGCCACAGTAGCTGGAGGGCTACTTGCAGTGGGCAAGGGAAGTGGTTGGTGAGATGTGAATGGGAGGAGTTGCATGTTGTGAGGGCTGTGCAGAAGGCAAGCAGTGAGAGCTAGCCCAGATTGGCCACTGACTGCCTGGGTAGCCTTGGTAGTCACTTGTCTTCTTTGGAGTACAGTTCCTCTACCTGTACAATAACAGCTCCCTGAATGCTTTTGACACTCCAGAAGTGTGTGACTGGCAGGTGTTTTCTCAGTTCTACTTTTTAAAAAGACCATGATATGCTGCAGAACAAGACAGAAGGTGACAACCAATGGAAAGCAAATGGTAGCCCTTGGTGGTTTTCGAATCACTGCAGTCCAGGCCTGCTATGGGTAGTTAGGAACAGCAGCCCTCAGAACCTCACATCTACTGGAAAGGCCAAGCACACATCAGGAGAAAGAGCTCAGAACAGACCTGGAGCCCTGGAGTATCTGGAGGGAGACAGGAACTGCTGAGCATCAAGAGAGCACACTGGCTCCCTAGCTCCTTTAACAAGTTATGGGCAGGGAGGGGATATCAAGGGTCACTGGGAAAATCATCAACACTAGCAGTTTAAGAAACACCGTTGTAACACCAATTCTGGTTCTGATTGAGACAGAGTCAGCACACTCTTTCTTTCTCATTGAATACAACTAAAACCCTGGGACAGTATGTGTGAAGCAGCTACCTGAGGGCTCTGGAAGTAAAAGGCAGCAAAGCATACGGGGGTAGGATACCAGACCTAGAAGCACAAATGATCCAGAGGGGAGTTTCTTTCCCAGGACTCAGGCAGCACAAATCCTAGAACTAGCTATCAGAAAGAGGTCAAGGGAAGCCCTCTTTAGTACAAAGTGAAGGAAGAAGAGCCTGAAGTGAAAGAAGAAAATCATCTTTTTTTCCTTTTGTCTCCCAATCCTGTCTCCAGGCCAGTCCCACTTCTGGGGCTGTCCCCTTGTTGATAAATGGGGGCAGTAGGGGTATGGGAAAGCACAGAAATGCTAGTAGCTAGGTAAATAAAATAGACTAATTTCATCTCTGTAAGTTTTTAAGACTTATAATGTTTGTAAGCCAAAGCTTTAACAGTGATGGAATTACCAGTTTTGTAGGTGTAATTCATAAAGGCTGCAATTTATAAGTGGGGAGGGTGAGGGACCTATGTGGTGACAATACTTCTACGTTCCACTTGACGTGGTAAAACACTAATCCTAAATAGACTCTAAAAAGGTGAGTATGTATTTTGTAATCACTAAAGCAATCACTGAAAATCCAAAGAAAAATAGTCCATCAGCTGTCAGTAGCCTGTCACTTGTGGCTTGGTTTAAAAACATGAACTGAACCAGTCAGACCTCTCTCTGGATTTAAGCAGTCCCTGTTATCCTGATGAGGCCATCAAGGAGTCTGAAAGTTGGCCAAAGCAGCTTGTGGCAAAGAACAATGGACAAACCCAGGAGGAGGGAGCAGCCCAGGTTCTCCCTCCAGGCTCTGCTGGGATAAAGATGGGTCTCCTGCTCCCCCTGGTGCCCATCAGCTTCTCGACAGCCTTGCGAAAGTATAAGCAAGCTGCCCCTGGAGCAGCTGAGTCTGAAGCCAGGTTGTGTCTATCCTCACAACACAAAACTTATCTACAGGGTTTTTGTTTTAGATAGAAAAGGCCAAAGAATGGGATATGCACCAGGGATTTTAGGACACCAAATTCTTCTTGTTTTTCAATTCAGCATTGACTGATCAGATCTTAGTTCTGAGCATTTATTTTCAAAAGCAGGGAGTGATGTTGGCAGGCGCTGGGTCAGCTCTGTTGCTCTCTATGATTGGTAATACCTACTTTCTGGTATTTTGGCCTCTTGGGAAATTTTCAGTGGGTGTACACATGACAGAGCAAAATCGGGGCCAGAACTCCACCAAATCTGCAGGGCTAAGGTCAAATTTATAACCGCAGGGCCAATGTCCTGCTCACACCCACAGGGTCAAGTTCATCCCCAGCCCAACAAAACCAAGGACCACAGGGCCAAGGTCTCCACCAACTGAGCCAAGGTCCAGCATAGACTCTGCTGAGAGAAGCTGGGTCCCAAGAACTTCTCCCAGAATGACCAATGTCCTTCCTGGAAGCAAGGCAGATGCTGTAGAGTTAAAGTCTGCTTCTATTGGGCCTTCTTAAACATCCTTGATGTGATGTTTGAGCCAGAGCACCAAGGAGAAATAGATCCTAAACAGGTTTGTGAACATGATGGAGACCCTGGCTGGGTCATCCACATTGCCTTGATGATTGCCTACTGCTTTTGCTGCCCCTACTGTTCCTTGGCATGCAGGCCTCCCTGGCTGCTCTCTTCTTCTACCCTCTGCCTCACTTCCAGAATTCATCTGGACAAACGTCACCACAACTGACCCTTGGCCCTATCTCTTGGGCACCTGCCTTCTGGAACCATGCTAACTCCCCTGGACTTCAGGGCAGGACTGTTGCAACAGTGGTGGAGCTACCTGTGAAGGCAAGTCTGTCCTCTTCTATTTTCTTTTTGAGGTGCTTGATTTCAAAGTCCCTTTCCTTCAGCAACTTATACAATCGCCCGTTCTCATCCACCGTTTCTCTGAGCTCCTCCCGAAGTTGTTGGATCTCATCTTCAAGCACCCTGTGAGGCAAAAGAGGAATTACTGCTCCTCCCTAGGGGCAGGTGGGCAGGGGTAGGGCCTCTCCTGCCCAGGCTTGTGGTACTTGGGTACTAGGTGGTGATAAGAATTTGTTTGTACAAAATAGGAAAGAGAAACTAATGAAAGACTTGAGCAGATTTTAACACACTGTTCTCGGATCTGAGTGATTAAGCAGGTATTCCCCACATGAGTGAAAGGAGAATGAAGGTTTGAAAAACATTGTTTATTAGTTGGCTTCAAGACACTGATATAAAACCTGACTCAGGAAATTGACACAACTTTCAAGCATCCAAGGGACATGCATAAAAATGAATTGTAGGCTGCAAGGCAATCTGAGCAAATTCCAAATAAAGATATCAGAGAGTTAATTTCCCCTAATGGCAATTGACTAAATTAGAAATCAATATTTAAAAAATTAGCAAACACCATCATATATTTGGGACTTAAAAAACCTGATTTATATATTGTATTATGAAGCATTTAGAACAGACCACACAAGCTATATCAAAACTTGTCAAAGGCAGCTATAATTAAGGCTATGATTTTCTTTCCATTTCTTTAGCTGCCTTGCAAAAGTCTGGATATTGTTTTAAACACACACACACACACACACACACACACACCCCAAATAGGAATTTTCTAAGTCTTAGGTTGAGGCTAGTTTTCCAGGTTTTAGGTAAATTTGACAGAAAATTAGAACAGGAGGTTAATTCTGTATATTCCAGATTGTACTGGAAGGGTCCTTCAGAACTCTAAACCACTAAGAAACCTGTGATCATGTCTGTTAGGCAGAGAACAGACTCCCTAGAGACAGTTGCTAGCAAAGTAAATATTTTGTAGGTTACAGTAATTATTAGGTAACAGTTCTTGTTATTATTGCTGCTATTATTATTATTATTATTATTATTATTATCATTATTATTTTATAAATGGTTCTAGTCTCCACTAATTTAAGTTTCTCTGGTTTGGGATAGATCATTTGGAAATAGGTCTGAGGTTAATTTGAGCTTATATATAGAAGTTTTATGTTTTTTTCCCAATTGTTGACAATTATTTTTTTCCAACTGACATTTTTAAGTAGGTCATTTAAAAAATGAGAAATCATAAAAAAGTAAAATTTGAAGATGGAGAAAAGAGACTCTGGGAAAAATCAGAAGCAGAGACAGCTCAACAATGCTTGCACTTTTTATGGCAAAATGATTAGCAGAAGATTTTGTATCAATGCAGTCTCCTGCTTCCAATAGCCTTATAGATCCATGTGCATCTGTGTAATACTGTTGAATATAAAACACACTAAGAAGATTCTGGATACCTTTCAACTTTTCCACCAGCTGTAAAAAAGCCAGGAATCTACCAAGAGCTTCTTTAGGACAGGGTGTGTTTATGCGTTGCTACATGTGAGGAAAGGAAAACTGGAAGAGCAGAATAAACTGGACGAGCAGAATGGTCCTAGATGGGATTTGGAGCAATGATCATATAAAACCATTAGTCAGCCAACCGGTTCTTAGAGACGCACACAGTTTACACCAAGGACTGTGAAGGAAAATCCAACGTATAAACCACACCTTTAATGAGTTTAAACATGTTCCCTTTGACTGTAAACTGATTTTAAAATACATTTCATATCTATTTACGTTCGCAGGAGCACAGCTTTATCAGATGCAACAGTCTTTAATAAAAACCTCTGTATCAAAACCACTTTCAATTTAAGAGGCTACATTGGGTCAAGCTGAGCTGCTGGATGCCTGCACCTGTTTCTCCCCCACCACCCCTACCTTATGTAATGTTCCTGGAGAGGTCAAACTTGCATTTACCTCTGCTCAAAGATGTTTTTCAAGTTTTGCTCCTCTGTGTGGAGAAGGTTGAGGCCATCAGAGATCTCCATGGATTCTTTTTGGTCATCATCTCTGCTTTCCTGTTCCTTTTCCTTTTCCCTCTTTTTCTCCATCTGCTGCTGTAACCTTCTGTGCTGCAGTTCCTGCATCGCCTTGAACTGGAGCCTCAAAGTGTCCTGTGAGCCTTCGTCGGCTGCCATCTTGCCTAGGAGTCAGCAAAGAAGCCTAAATCAAACTCCACACTGAGTACTCAGGTACACGGTCAGCCTTGTCTGCAGCCTGGAGTTTGTTGTTGAGCTTTGCCTGTGTGTCCATGTGTGTCCATGCAAATACTCAGGAGCCCCATTGCCACTTTGGATCATCTGAAACCCAAAGCTGAGCTGAGCCTCCTCCCCCAGCCCTGGACTTGCCACCAGACTGCACATGGCATCAGGATGCTCCCCATTATGCAGATATGATATTTGCCTGTCTCTTAAGTCACTGGCTCTCAACTCTAGCTGAACATCAGAATCTCCTGAGAGGTCCTAAAATAGAAGAATGCTTGGACCCTTCCCCAGATCAATTAGATCCCAATGTCTAGGAATGGGGCTATGCATCATGACTTCCTTTTCTCTTAAAATTGAGGTATAATTCACATACAGTAAAGTGCATAAAGCCTGAGTACACAGCCCAGTGAATCCCCCAGGTGTGTGCTTCTGTGGTGACCCACTGCTGGGGCTTAGAAAATGAAACCTCCAACTCTGGTGTTTTGGACCTGCTGAGTTTAAAATATTTAAGAATCAAGATCTTTCAGGCCTATTCCATCCCCCACTCCCATCTCTTGGTCTTATTTCTACTCCATAGGCACAGGAAAGGGCTTTTGCTGAATATAGTATGTCACCCTGAAACTCATGTTGAAATTTAATCTTTGTTGTGAGGTACTAGGAGGGTAGAAACTTAGAATCTGACTGTGGTGGTGTTTAAAGGTGATACCTTTGAGAGTTGATTTAGATTAGATGAGGTCATTAGGGTAGAGTTCCCATGACTGAATTCTAGTAGCTGTATAAGAGGAGGGAGAGAGACCAAAGAGACGCATGTATACACATGCTCCCTATTTTTTGCCATGTGATGCCCACACCCCCTCAGACTCTGACAGCGAGAAGGTCATTACCACAGCCAAGCACAGTGGTGCATACCTGTAATCCCAACCACTCCAACTACTCAGGAGGCTGAGGTGGGAAGATTGTTGAGTTTGAGACAGCTTAGGCAACAGAGCAAGAGGCCATTACCAAATATAGCCTCTCAACCTTAGATTTCCAGCATTGTGAGTCAAAGTCAACTTCTTTTCTTTATAATTCACCCAGTCTGCAATATGGTGTTACTGGCAACAGAAAATGGACAAAAATACATGCATCATCCAATAGTCATATATCCTAATTCTCCATAAAAGTCATCCAATCTGTCCCCATATCTCCCCACAACACACACACCCAGTTCTCATTAGCATGCTTATAACCACCTCAGCCACTCCCTCTCCCTGGAATGATCCTCTCTCAGACATCCACCTCACTACTTCCTCTCAGATGTCATCTTGTCAGAGGCCCATCTCACATTCTATTGGAGAAAGCATCCCTGTCCTCACTCTGCATACCCCTTACTGTTTTTATCTTTCTCCATAGCACTCAGCTTCACTTGACTAATTTTGTATTTATCTGTTTATTTGTTGACTACCTGTCTCCCTCCCCACCAGCTTCATCATGGTGGGCCCTGTGCATTGCTCACTGCCCTATCCTCAGTGCCTCTATCAGGGCCTAGGATATGGCAGACTAAATTGGTTCCTACGTCCTCGCTGCCCACTCCTCCTGGCCCCACTTGTAGTCCATCATGCACTGGTTGAGGGACTGGTTTCTCTAAAGTACAGCTTTGAACTTGACATGCCTCTTTGCAAAAAACAAAAAAATAAAACAAACAAAAAAATGAGATGCTCATTAGCCACAGAACTAAGTCCAAAAGCATTAAAAAAAAAACTTTGGGGTATTTGGCCTCAGTCTCTCCTTCTAGCTTGTTTTCCTTTCATAATGCTAAGTTCTAATTAGTTGTGTCCACTTGCTCCTTTGTCCTATATAAGCCCCCTGCCGTAGGATTAAATCTTGCTGGTCCTCCTGGCCCAGCACTAATACCACGTCCTTTCCTGATCCTCCAGGAACAGTACTTTCTGCTTTAGCCATACCTTCCTGATACACCTATCTCTATTTTATGGTCCCACAACCTCTACCCAGTGGTTCTTAAACTTACTTCCATTATGAATCTGCAAGGATACAATCTAAAAATACTGATTCCCAGGTCATATCCCTAGAGAATCCAACTTTGTTATAACAGTCTGGAGTGGAGACCAGGCATGGAGCTTTGTAAGAGCTGCCCAGGAAGCTCTAACATGCTGTCTGTGGACTGAGCCCAGGGTTGGAGAAAGGTCTGGCCAAAGCAGGAGCTGGGACTATGTTGAAATTCCTCAGCAGATAGATTTGCCCAGTAAGAGAAACTGCACAGGAAACAATTAACTTGCAGGTCTGGTTTGTCTGCACTTTGCGTGTTCCAAAGAAAGGTTTTGCCCTTGACTTGCTGCTAGGAAATAACCTCTAAGCCCTTGGAATATCCTGCCTGGTTAAGAGTATCTTTCTTCAATTGAGGTCCTTGGAACACTGCAGATAGTCTGTGCTAAAAATGTGGGTGAGCACATGGTATCTGCTTGACCTCTGGAGGGGCTGGAGATTGAGTGACTAAAGTCAGCTATGCCAGTGGTCAGCCATTCCTTGGTGACCAGCTCCCAATAAAAACCCTGACCACCAACGTTCAGGTGAGCATCCCTAGCTGGCCATACTTGATGCATGTTGTCACATGTTGGTTTTAGGAGGAATAAACATTGTCTGCATGACTCTGCTAGAAGAGGACAACTGGAAGGTTGTGCCAGGTGTCTCCTGGACTCTGGCTTTCTTCTCTTGCTCATTTTTATCTGTAATCTTTCACTATAGTAAAGCATAACAGAGTATAATATGATGGCTTTTCTAAGTTCTATGAGTTCTAGAAAAAACACTGAAACCCGTGAACTTCAGGAATCCTGGAACATTTCTATTAAAAGTGTTATAGTCACAGCCACCTCAGTGGGTTCAAAAAGACGGGGATACCCAAGGATATAATGTAAACATAACAACTAGACTCAATGTTTTACATTTCAGGCAAATTGTACTCCATGTTTTAAATTTAGGCAGGGATCAGCAAACTTTTTCTGTTAAGGGCCAAACTTAAAAATAGTTTAAGCTTTGTAGGCTACATGTTTTTTGTCACAATTACTAACACTCTGCCATTGTAACAGAAAGGAGCCAGAGACAATGGGTAAACAATGGTTATGGCTGTATTTCAAAAAAACTTTACTACAAAAAGAGGCACTGAGCTGGATTTGAACCATAAGCCCTTAGTTTACCAACTTGATGTAGAGGAATTTCACCTGAAAAAAATTTCCAGGGATTGAAGCAAACCCTATTTCAGTCTTTTATTTGAAAATTTAACTAAAACAGTTTAAAAATAAATTTATCTTTTGATTCCCCTTCTTTTTGTAGATTACAAGGGAGAGACAATCATATCCTTCAGTTTCCAAACTGCGTTACCTTGGAAAGACAAGGGATGCGCTATTATTAATAATCACTCTTCATCAAAGCAGGCCAGGAAAACAAATTAGAGTGTGAAATAGTGGTTCTCATTCCTGCTGCATACTGGGATAACTAGGGATTCTGAAGGTGCTGAGGTCTGGGTGCCATGCCAGGGATTCTGAAGTCATTGATAAGGGTAGGGCCTGGGCATTTGGATGCTGCTGGTTTGGGAGGCCATATTAGTAGGCTGGACTGAGCTGACAGCACCTGGAGTTCAAGGTAGACTTGGCTCTCAACCAGATATGTGCGAGTTTTCTAGAACCCTCCAGGACTTAATCCCTTCTTCAGTTAAGCAGGAGATGATGGTACTGAGGTTACAGATGTGCAGTGAAGGGCAAATGCAAAGGACAGTGTGAAAACATTTTGTCAACTATGGACTGATAGAAACAGTATCTCTCCCTTTCTGTTGGTTTCTTTGGAGGACTCCCTTCCTCCTCTACTTTATCCAACATCCAGATTCTTATGGTGACACTAGTGACCCGCTAGCAGAAAGTCTTCCCTGGCTGCTTGGCCTAGTGACTAAATCCTAAAACACCACTGCTTCCAGCCTCTGTCCACATAGCCTCACATCACAGGGTCACCTCCCTTGACCTCATCCTCCCAGGACTTTCCTGTCTCTCTAGATACCTGATCCCTCCTCCCTAGCAACTTGGGTCTTGCACATTTATCCCATTAATCCATTCTGTACATAACCATCTGGGACCTTTCTAAAACAAGATCTAAGTGGCTCCTGCCTCTGCAAGACCCTGCCAGGATTCACGGGAGGAAACTCTGGCTAGCCTGAAGGCTGTACGTATCCCACAGGCATTTTTGTTCAACTCTTACAGAGCACTATGTTATGATTTGATTTTTTTGCCAACATTTAAATATCTATAGATTTTAATTAAATCCATATTTGCAGATTCTTTTATAAGTTAATAGGTATGGCAGTACTGGGCCTATAGTCCACATGGTCAGCAGGCACTAGGCAGAAGGAATTCCCTCTGGACAGGGGGAATTCTTCCCACTCAATCACTGTCCTGGCCACTTTTGGAAGCAGCAGCTGGCACATCAGCTGCCCACTATCATTGCACATAAAGGTTCTTTATCTTACACCTTCTGGATTCACCCACTTTCATTTCCTACTGGTGCCTGAAGATGCCTGGGTTAGTGGCTCTTGCTAAGGATCAGGCTCAGGGGCATCTCAGGCTTTCTTCAGCAACTTCCCTGCCTAGGATGCCTCTCTCCTATTACCTGAGTTGGCTCTTTACCTTTCCACTAACTCCCACTTAGTCTTTAGGGTTCCCCTAGGGGCATTCTGTGGACTCTCAGAATCTTTTGGACATCCCCTGGTCACTATACCTCCAATATTATAACTACCTATAATTTTATTTATATTCCCTTTACAAAGAGGTCTCTTAAAGGCAGGGCCTTATGTCTTATTCATTTATTAATTCTCAGCATCTTGCCCAGAATAGGCCCTTAATTAGTGTTCACAGAGCTATCACTGAATGAATGTAGCCAGTGCTCAAGAATGAGAGAAAATAAAGTTTGAAGAAGTAAATGAGTGAATGAACAACACAGTAAATTGTAAAGTTTTTTTTTCCTTTTCCATTCCCAATTTGCTCTTGAAGACACTGGAGAACCAATACTTCTTTGATGTTCACTGTGCTATGGGAAAATTACTTAATCTCTTTGCCTCAGTTTCCTCATCTGTAAAATGGTATGGTAATCACTGTGAACTTTCTGAAGAGGTTTATAAGGATTGAGAGAGCACATGGAAACTACTATCTTTATCACCTTATGAAATGGTGCCCTTGGCCCAATCCAATCTCTGGAAGATGGACAGTCATGCTTGCACTCACAGGACACCTGTGGATCAGACCAGCCCTCAGGGCACTGGCATCTGCTCTGTGCTACATAGGAAGTCATTAGAGATTTGGATTTATGTGGTGTTGGCTGTGGCCAGGGCATCTGTCTGTTTTTAAAGCTCCCCAGGTGAGTCTAATATTCAGGAGAGTGAGAATGACGGTGGAAAGTGCACTGAGAGGCTGGTTGGGCAGGGATGCTACAGGAGAGGCAGGCACCTGTCAGCTAGTCCAGCCTGGCAGGGAGGGAGGAGGAAGAGTACCTGAGTGGGAGCAGGGGGGTTTTCTGCTGGGAAAAGAGCACTGGCAGGCAGAATGTGGTGTGTGGGGAACTGAGAGAGATTCAGGATGGCAGGAGGTAGGGTGGAGATTTGAGGAGCTCTGGACTTCCTCCTGAGGTGCTGGGGATATTCAGAGGGTGCATACAAGATCACACTTGCCTTTCATGAAGCTGGAGGTCTAGCTGGGAGGGGGTTTCTGGAAAGGACTGTGGGCCGAAATCAGAGCTGTGGCAGTGCAGATGAAGAAAAGGGAGCAGGAACTGCCACCAAAGGACCAGAGGTGGTATGCAAAGGGGAAGGGGAAGTCTAGAGGGCTGAGGCCTGGGTTTGAATGCCTGGGGAGATGGTGGGCTCTGGCAGAGAAGCAATTTCCAGGCCGCAGGCAAGGTAGGTGGTAGACTGTTGGGCTTGAGACCGTGGGCCTTCCACATGGAGAGGGCGTGTATGCAGCTGCTTGGGTGGGTTTGAGCTCAGGAGAGAGCCTCAGGTAGCTGAGACCAAGGGTTTGGAGAGAGTGTAGAGTGAGAAGGGTGTGGCAAAGAAGGAAGGGGAAAATAGAGGAAGAAGAGACATCTGGGAGCAGACATCTGGGAGAGGTGAGTAGATGTCACTGGGTAGAGATGGGGACAGATGTGTGAGTCTGATTAGGGCAGACACCATGGAGACAGGAAGCTGTGGTTAGGAGCAGTGGGAGGGTGGAGGCCAAGGTCTCCTCAGAGATGGACCCCAAACCATATTCTTCCCTTTCTTCCTAAGCATCTTAATTGTAAGTCAAGGACAAAAGGATCTCAGTGGGGGCTGCAGACTTCCAGGTCAGAAAGGAAAATGTCTGCTTTTTCAAAGCACATAATAACACTGAAGGTAAATTTTTCAAAGTGCACCTTGACCCTATGCGATTCCTGATAAATCCATGACAATGTAGTACACATCAAAAACAGGTTCAAAGATGTGCCTGTCATTTGGGGGAATTCAGATAAGTGAATGGAAGGCTTTTGGTCACGTTCTACCTGCCCTGAAGGTAGACAGTATTGTGTTCATCTTTGAATCTCATCTCCACAGTACAAGCCAGCACATGCACACGTTGGGTACTAAATTAGCATTTATGTCATGATGAATAAACAATCCACAGCAGCAATTTTGACACTAAAGCACTAAAAGCACTCAACTTGAATCCATTAGCTCATGTAGAATGTGGGTCAAAGAATCAATGTGCAAATATTTATTGGTGCAACAGAGTTATAG